TTACGGCGGGTGAAATGTTGTGTAAGCGTCTCCGCGAAAGGCACATCCAGACAACTTGCATGTAAAAAATGGCCACAGCTATCGCACCCAAGCCAATCCAATCCAAGCTTTACAACACGGTTGTTTTCTGCAAGTCAGATTGCACAACATATATTAGTATACCAAACCCAGTCTTCCCTCCTTACACGTCTCATGTATTCATGATATCAGCGAATTAATGATCAGATGACATTTCAGTATTATCCTGAATTTAGGCCCGAGAACGTGTTGCAACGGCAAAACGTAAATAGAATTCTTCTTGGTACCCTTCCGGATGCCATCGATACCTTTTCCAATGCCTCCATTGTCTATTACAGCTGGAAAAGATATATGTACAAACAACGCTTTTGAAAATTGTTTAACATTTTATTTAGTGAAGTATACAACACGATTGTTTTCTGCAACTACCAATGATCTGTCTGTATATGAAGCATTAAAGTTGTTTCACTGCTGACTACTCAATCGTATTTCGGTCTTTTTTCCTTCCTCAGCTCGTCGCCAGTGATGTAGTGTCTCCCCTACGATGTCGGAACACTTCACAGTCATTCAAGAAAAGGAAGGAGAGTTCTTTGGACCACGACAAGCGTTGATTCATGGCGTACGATTAACATTTTATGCACCCAACATTGATAAAGACTTTGAGAGGGATTTGAGTCGTTTTGAAACCCGATCAGAGGATATTTATGTGGTTAGTTTCCCAAAATCAGGTAAGGCTATAGACTGAGATTGGATCACATTAATTGTGGCAAGTTAAACGCAGTTAAAGTTTTACGCAGCCAACAACTATGCATGTAATCTTTCGCCGTCCTGGGTGAGAAGCTCGCTTATGTTTACAACCGAGCAAATAAATGCGTGCAAAGAAAACCAATTTCCATAATTGATCAAATAAGTGCGTGAAACTGACTGAGTGCTTACAAACCTCTATAGGATCGTACATCATAGAATGGTCGCGTGGTCCGAATGGGTAACAACAGTCACGGCCACAGTAAGTTTATCAGAAGGGCTAAGTTTCTAAAGAAATTGTCGTGCTGCGTCAGTGAGGGGTATAACAGAATAATTTGGTTTTATCAACTGAGTTGATAATGTAAATTGGCCATCGTAAGGAGTTTATAGAGCTGCCGTTTCAAAAAGTTAGCCCTTCGCTCGAACGAAGGAATCAGCTTTACGATTAACAATTAACACGTCCAGCATTGATAAGGATATTAAGAGGGATTTGCGTCGTTTTGAAACCTGTTCAGACGATATCTATGTGGTCAGTTTTCCAAAATCAGGTAAGGCTGTAGATCGATCCTTTCGATAGGCCACTTTGCTTCACTTCGTCGCCAATTTCTTTTACAGTGCAGTCTTTTGAGTGCTGATTTATTTGTTAATAGGGACAACTTCGGCAAAAAAATAGAAATTTTGTCTACAAGACGTCCGCAATTTTTGAATCATTGTTTGGTTGCCATGTGAACTTTAATATATTTTACATGGTTTAGCCATTTTAAACCGCATGAACTCATAACTTAAAAGGTCCTTAGGGAGAGTAAGTAAAACAGCTTAATTTTTACAGCAAACCAAATCACTCCGTATAATTGATAGAGTAGCTCATGTTTACAACTGACCAAATTAGCGCGTGCAAGAAATGCAAACCGCGGACAACGAGATCTGAACTAAACTTTCTTTCCTTTTTTCAGGAACAACCTGGGTGCAAGAAATTGTCTGGCAAATATTCAACGATGGAAAAATCAGCGAAGAAAGGATGGAAAGTCGCCATCCCTTTTTGGAAAAAAATCAGCTTTTCGATAGGCCTAGAGACGAGTCAGACGGGCAGAAGGTCTCCGTGACTTCCCCGCTTAATTAGGTCACATCTTCCTTACCATGTGATTCCAATGAGTAAAGAGGAGAGCAAAAGAAGCAAGTATATTTACGTGGCAAGAAATCCAAGAGACGTTGCTGTTTCATATTATCACTTCGTCCTAAGCTTTGGCCCTAATAGTTACTTTAATGGGACGTGGGAGTTCTTTGTAAAGTTGTTTCTTGAGGGCAAAAGTAAGGATTTTTATTCGTTGGAAATAGTTTTCGCTGTAAGCTAAGCGGAAGTTTGACGGCATTACAAGCTCGCCTCCTACTGTATCTGTAAGTTCGCTACTTGAGTAAAAACAAGCTCGCTCCCACCTTTATCAGTTCGCCACCAAATCTTTCAAAGGTACGATGATTTCGACGGCAAACAATGCGTTCTGCCTCAAGGAGACGTGTTGAACGATTTAGTTTCTAAAGAAATTGTGGGGCTGCTCCGGTGTGGTAGTATATAACAAGAAAGTTTATTTGTTTTTATCAACTGAGTTGATAATGTAAATTGGCCACCGTAAAGAGTTTCAAAGCTCACTTTTCGCACGTTAGCCCTTCGTCAGAGCAAAAGACAAGCCATTTGCCATTCGCTCAGACAAAGGGCTAACGCGCGAAACGTCAGCTTTGAAACTCTTTACGGTAGCCAATTTACATTATGAACTCGGTTGATAAAACAAAAATTATCTTGAAAGGTTTAGGGGCGAGCTGGAAAAGGTAGGTGCAAACCTGTGTCACTTCAGGGGGCGAACTCGCAAGGGAAGGTAGGAGAGCGAACTTGCAATGGGGTGAAACTTCCATAAACCGTTAGACATCTGTGATCAAATGAAATGATTGTAAATTTGAATCATTTCCTGCAGATTCATATGGCTTTTGGTCTGATCACGTGCTGCCCTGGTGGAAACACAGAGATGAACCTCACGTCTTATTTCTCAAATATGAAGATTTAAAGAAGGTGAGCTATTTTCATGCTTTACTCATCTTTGTTTTAGTTGGACTACAAATACATAAGATCAACCTTCACTAGTCCGACCATTATAACGCGAATCCGAGACTGCTATCAGTAAGGAAGCAGATATTGCGCAACCATAAAACCCCTCTAAATAAATAGTGAGTAGTTGCACAAGTCTAAACTTGTAATGATTTCCTTAAAAACCCATTTACCTTTCAGGATCTTTGTGGTAACGTTCGACTAATCAGTGAATTTCTCGAGAAGCCACTTTCAGATGAAATGATCCGCAAAATCGCCCACCAGTGTACGTTTGCGGAAATGAAGAAAAACTCCAACTCTTATGTCATTTCGGCATATGCCACACAGCAAGTTACAAAACGTAAATATAATTCTTTTTGGTGCCTTTCTGGGTGCCACCGATGCCTTTTCCGATACCTCCATTGTTTATTACAGTAGTAAAAGATATATGTGCAATCAGCACTTTTGAAATATTGCTTAACATTTCATTTAGCAGAGTACACTGTTAACGTTTCGGCTTTATAAGACCTTTGTTTTCCGCAACTATAATTGATATGTCTCTACATGAGGTATTAAACTTGTTTACCCGCTGACCACTCGTATTTCATTTTTCATAACAGTTATTCTTCCCCCGCTCGTCGCCCGTGATGTAGCAACTCTCGAAATGGTTTAGCGTGACGACAAATGGTTTAGTAAAAACCGAAATGGTTTAGTGTTACAGCAGTTGGTTTAAGCTGTAACCGCCAAAAATATAAAAGTGAAATGGACAAATCAAGCTTGAAATGAAACAGTTTATGTGGAGTCTTACGTAACAACCCTTACGTCATTCAGATCGAATTTGGCGCGAAATTCACCAGAACGATCGCGTTAATGAGGTATTCGCCACGTCGTACACTCGACGTTCAACACAGGAAGAAATTATTTCTGTAGCCTCGTCTACTAGACTCAGCGAGCCTTATTCCGGTAATAGTCATTTTTTATGTTTGCCTATTATCGCTTGTTAGCGAATAAATTTATGCCCTCGTCATCTTACCGCAATATCAGTAAGTAAATGATATTTCGGATGAAACCGTTTTCAGTAGCTTAATAATCAGTTAGTAAAAATGAAAGTAAACTTAAGTTTATATTTCACAATAAAGTCTCTTCTTATTGTTTCAAACCATACGTTTTTTAATCTCCAATTGTTATAGTTTGTTAAAATTAAGGAAAGCCGCAGCTATCGGAAATTTTATCCTGAGGTCGTAAAGTTTCTAATAGTTGCGGCTTAACCATGTTGGGAGTTCAAATTGCCATTAGTCAGTTTCAAATTGTTCTTTTCAGTTTCTTACCGTGAAAACTGCCGTTCTTTGAATAGATAATTCTTACCGTGGTTATTCCTAACCATGGTAAGAATTCTCCATTTTACTACCTCAAGATAATATCAGAATCTGAAACAAAAGGAATGACAAAAATACAGATAGAATGCATCATTTTACGCGACAGTACACTTACAGTCTAGACAGTCAGAACCATAGCTAGAAAACGTGATAAAGCGATTTGTTTTAAGACGACGAAACTACAACTAAAGGGCGCCTAAAAACTATAAAACTATATAGTTAAAAACTACATAGTTATATATAGTTTATAGAGAAAACTGCTGTACTTTAAATGGAGAATTCTTACTATGATTAGGCGTGACGGTATCCGCCGCTTTCGCCCCCTATCGAGTTCGCCCCTTCGAGTTCACCCCTACCTTATACCGTGTTCGCCCCCACACTTTTCGAGTTTGACCCCATCAAGTCGAGTTCGCCCCTTGATTGAGTGATATCCAGATGAGTTGATTCGTAAGTTGATGAGTAAATTCTTCAGTCTTAATTTTATAACTAAAGCTAAACGGGTACAAGTCTAACAACTTAAGCAATGCTGTCGCGATGAAAGCGTGGTTCGCATCTTCTCAAGTCTGGTTGTTACGATCACCACATTTCGTGTTCGTTAAATAAACCGTGTGGTTCTCTTTATCACAAGTTCAGTGTATACAGTTATTTCTGGTAACCCCAGATCCCACGCAGAGTATTTAGTTGATTCCGTCAACCAGTTCCCAAGCAGGTTCCACGCAATTGCCGAAATTCCAAATGGTCGTCGCTGACGTGACATTTGGCACATTCTGCTAGTGCCTTCGTCACAAATCAACTCATCTGGATGTCACTCAATCAAGGGGCGAACTCAACTTGATGGGGTCGAACTCGAAAAGTGTGGGGGCGAACACGGCATAAAGTGGGGCGAACTCGAAGGGGCGAACTCGATAGGGGGCGAACGCGGTGCAATTCGGCGTGACCATGGTAATGTTAAACGATAAAGATAGAACTATATTTAACCTGAAATATCGTAAAGGCTTCCTTACATTGGTGTTGGGAAAAAGAATGGAAATATTATATTACTTTAAGCCATTCGATACAAAAATTATAATAAGACAGGTTGATTATTTCTTAGGTATCCGCCGCTTTCGCCCCCTATCGAGTTCGCCCCTTCGAGTTCGCCCCTACCTTATACCGTGTTCGCCCCCACACTTTTCGAGTTCGACCCCACCAAGTCGAGTTCGCCCCCGGATTGAGTCATGTCTAAATTAGTTGCTATCGAACATTGCAAACAAGTTAGAACCAAGACAAGATTTGAATTTTAATTGACCGACGCATTCTCTCAAGACGTGACATTTGGAACATTCTGCTAGTGCCTTCGTCACAAATCAACTCATCTGAATATCACTCAATCAAGGGGCGAACTCGACTTGATGGGGTCGAACTCGAAAAGTGTGGGGGCGAACACGGCTTAAGGTAGGGGCGAACTCGAAGGGGTGAACTCGATAGGGGGCGAACGCGGTGCAATTCATTTCTTATTCCTTTTGGCGGTCTCATCTAAGTACAATTTCTTTCACCTTTTTCTTATTGCGGTTGTGAATTTGGTACGGAAACAGTTGCTCCGTTTCTACGGTGATTAAATCTTGTACTATTTTGTGATAAGCTATGTTTTTAATTATGTAAATTTTCTAGTTGTAAATCTTTCTGGTAAAAGTTAACCTCGCGCACTCCTGCTTCTTATACAAATTCTTAGTCAAATTCTTAGTCAAATTCACGATTCCAGAATATTTCTTAAATTTTTAAATAAACACCTTCAACACCTCTTCTTAAAGGTGACTCTGATTGTAAATAGCTTATGCTTTTTCATTTCCGCACTGAATTTGTAATTATATAACTTATGCGAATAGCGCGTAGTTTTTTTGGGGGCGGTACCTTAAGTACGCCCCTTCTTCTCCGAATTTTCTGTTTACTCTGTTGTTATATAACAATCTTCTAAGGCTATTTTCTCGTAAACTATCTTTTCAAGCGTAATTTCAATTCTGCCAATAGGTTAATTATAATTTTTATATTATCAATCTTGTCTTTGTTCTGGCCGATCCTAACCGTAAAATTAAGAAATCTAAGGTAGAAGATGATTTTGTGATTGCGTAAACAACTCGAAGGCGCATACTTAGTATGCAGGAACTGCCGTAGGTACTCTAACGTGATTCGCTGGCTGAAACGGAGCGATCGCAATGTAAGAAGATTGACAGCTTAGAAGTGTCATCTTTGGTGTCACCTTTATAAGCTGGTGAACAGCATCTTTCAATCAGGGAATATAGCAAAGTAAAATAGTGTGGACTTATGTCGAAAGGAATAAGTTGAACTGTGGTGAATAAGATCAGTACTGGGCTAGTCCCCGAAAGTAAGAATTGTACTAAGAGTTCAACTAGAAAATAAAGGAGATTCAACCGAGTGTTGGAGAGAAATTCTTCTAAAAGTAATAATTCACCATTTTAACTACCTCAAGATAGAATAAGAATCTGAAACAACCGGAATGACAAAAATACTGATAAAATGCAGGATTTTACGCTTCAGCACATTTAAAGTCTAGACAGTCAGAATCACTGCCAGGAAACGTGATAAAGCGATTCACTGTTTTAAGACGACGAAACTACAATTATAGGGCGCCTAAAAACTATAAAAGCTATAGGGTTGTGACGTAAGACCCCGCATAAACTGTTCCATTTCAAGCTTGACTTGTCCATGTCACCTTTGTATTTTTGGCGGTTACAGCGTAAACCTACTGCTGTAGCACTAAACCATTTCGGTTTGTACTAAACCTTTTGTCGTCACGCTAAACCTTTTCACTTTACGGTGAGTAGATTGACAGGGTCGTAACAAGGTATATGAGATCAGGGATCACAGCCCCGGGATCTGGGATCACAGCACTTGGGATCGGGATCAGCAGTGTTTTAGTGGAATCAGGGATCAAAATTGTGAACGTTTTTGGGATCAGGGATCAAAATTCCCAATGTTTTTGTGATCAGGGATTAAAATTCTCAACGTTTTTGTGATCAGGGATCAAAATTTGGGGCGAAAATACAGGATCAGTTATGAAAAAATATACCTTGTTACGACCCTGAGATTGATGCGACACTAAGCCATTTCGGCTTACGATTAACCATTTGCCGGTAACTTAAGCCATTTCACACTACTCTGAACCGTTTGTGTTAAGTCACGGAACCAAAATACAGTTAGCTGAACTGTTTGTCATTTCGACACTGAACAATTTCAGTTAACACTTAGCCAATCATGTTTTTATTTAATCAGTTCAACAAGGGTGGCTACACAGTTCTGAATTGTATAAACCATTTTTGTTTGAATATTTCATTTCACCAAAGGCGACATGTCCATTAGTATTATAAAAAAATTTCTTGTGATAAGATAAACCGTTCTTGAAGAGACAATTAGACCATTTCTGTTCATTACAAACCATTTGTTATTATAAGTAAGTGTTGCGCAGTAGTGTAGACGTTACAAACCAATGATGTCGGAACGTTTCACAGTCATCCAAGAGAAGGAAGGAGAGTTCTTTGGACCACGACAAGTGCTTATTCGTGGCGTACGATTAACAATCAACGCGCCCAGCACTGGTAAGGATCTTGAGAGGGATCTGAGTCGTTTTGAAACCCGTTCAGACGATGTCTATGTGGTCAGTTTTCCAAAATCAGGTAAGGCTATAGATCGATTCTTTCGACTGGCCACTTTGCTTCACTTCGTCGCCGATATCTTTTACACTGCTGTCTTTTGAGTGCTGACTTATTTGTGAATAGGGACAATTTCGACAACAAAAAAAAACGAAATTTTGTCCATAAGACGTCCGCAACACATGCCATTTTTGAATAATTGTTTGGTTGCCGTGTGAACTTTAGAGGGCATGTAAACCCTAAAAACGTTAATTTTAGAGAATGATATATTTTCGTCTTGTCACGAGCGTGGGACAAAGAAATAATTCTGAGTCCCTATGAGGAATCGAACCTCAGACCTTCGGATTCCGTGCTCCAATGTTCTATCACTAAGCCATAGAGACTACACGGTGTGCAAGGTCTGTTACGAAGTCCATATGACACATGTCCTGCATACTGCTAGGATCAGCAATATCGATAGCATAATGTTTGTAGATAGAAATAAGAGAGATGGTAAGTTTTGAGCTCGGTAAAGAAATAGAGATGTTTTTTTTCGTCTTCTCACGAGCGTGGGACAAAGTTTTTCTTTTCACATAGATGTTTAGTAAATATATCAAGTACACCAAAGGTACCATTCGTTTTTTTCTGAAAAGTCCATTTTCACTTTGTAAAAGCTCTTGCAAATTCGAAACATTCGCCATCTTAAATGGCGCCATCTTTCCTGTGACCTGAGGGGTGGAACCTCCAAAGTTACGTTTTATGACACGTAGGAGTCTTCTCCACAGCCATTGTTTGCCGGTCTAGTCATGAGTTTTTACTAACAGTTTGCTTCAATATATTCAATGTTTTCATAATGGTAGAAAGTTGTATCGTCCAGTTTTGTACTGATTCAAACAAAACTGGGCATACAATGCATAGATTTCCAAATGACACAAATTTGAAGCGACAGTTGGTGAACTTTGTTCAGGTGAAAAAAAAGATTTCTATTGCATTCCGATTGTACTCTTGCTTTATTGGATTTTCATGTCAGATACAAATAAATCATACAGTAAATTAAATACCCGTCTGAGTTTCCGAAACGGTAACATCGCTGTCAACATGTTCTCTACAGTCCTTGTGCGAATCCCCTTCGGTGAACCCTACGCGACTCATATGTTAAGGACGTGGCCGAGACTCTCCTAAAGATTCTGGATTATCCCCATCGCTGTCATATACTAGGTTTAAGGCATTCGTGTCACTCTCTTCTGAAAAAACATCGTCCAAACCACTGCTACTAATACGTGCTGCAATACCAATCTTACTGTGGAATATGTGTTGCGCAATATTTTAGTTCCAACGCTTACTTCATAAGTGTTTTCACGGGAAGTGGAATTTCTCCCTAATATAAGTCGAATTGGACAAAACAAATCTCAAATTCGTTTTCTATGCCACTTTTTTCATAGTATATGAAAAACATGTATTTTTGGGTTTACATGCCCTTTAATAGATTACATTGTTTAGCCATTTCAAACCACGGACCTCATAGCTTAAAAGGTCAGTAGGGAGAGTACGTAAAACAACGTAATTTTTTACAGCAAACCAAATCACCACGTATAACTGACAGAATAGCTCATGTTTACAACCAAATATGACCAGATTAAAGCGTGCAAGAAATGCAAACTGCGGACAACGAGATCAATCCTTGAACTAAACTTTCTTTATTTTTTCTCAGGAACAACTTGGGTGCAAGAAATTGTCTGGCAAATACTCAACGATGGAAGAATCAGCGAAGAAAGGGTGGAAAGTCGCTATCCCTTTTTGGAAAAAAGTCAGCTCTTCGATAGGCCCGGAGACGAGTCAGACGGGCAGAAGGTCTCCGTGACTTCTCGGCCCAGTCCCCGCTTAATTAAGTCGCATCTTCCTTATCATGTGATTCCAATGAGTAAAGAGGAGAGCAAAAGAAGCAAGTATATTTACGTGGCAAGAAATCCAAAGGACGTTGCTGTTTCATTTTATCACTTCGTCCAAAGCTTTGATCCTGGCAGTTATTTTAATGGGACGTGGGAGTTCTTCGTAAAGTTGTTTCTTGAGGGCAAAAGTAAGGATTTTTATTTGTTAAAAATGGTTTTCACTGTGAGCTACGCGGAAGTTTGACGGCATTGGGAGCTCGCCTCCTACTGTATCTGGAAGTTCGCCACCTGAGGAAAAACAAGTTCGCTCCCACTTTTACCAGTTCGGACCAGTTCGTCCCTAAATCTTTCAAAGCTATCATGATTTCGACAGCAAAAGAATACGTTCTGCCTTAGGGACTGCCTCGGTGAGGTAGAATAACAAGTATAACAAGAAATTTCATTTGTTTTTATCAACTGAGTTGATAATGTTAATTGGCCATCGTAAAGAGTTTCAAAGCTCATGTTTCGGGCGTTGGCCCTTCGTCAGAGCGAATGGCAAATGGTGAGTGATTTGCTCTGACGAAGTGCTGACGCTCGAAACGTCAGCTTTACAGTAACCAATTTACATCATCAACTCGGTTGATAAAAAATTATCTTGGAAGGTTTAAGGGCGAGGTAGGAACAGTGGGTGTGAACTTGTTTCACTTCAGGGGGCGAACTCGCAAAGGAGGTAAGAGAACGAACTTGCAATAGGGCGAAACCTCCATAAATCTTTAGATATCACGTTTCGGGCGTTAGCCCTTCGTCAGAGCGAAGATAAATGGCGAGTGATTTGCTCTGACGTAGGGCTGCGCTGATTTGCTCTGACGAAACGTCTGCTTTGAAACACTTTACGGTAACCAATTTAAATCATCAACTCGGTTGATGAAACAAAAATTATCTTGAAAGGTTTGAGCTGGGGAAGGTGGGTGCAAACTTGTTTCACTTCTCGGGGCAAACTCGCAAAGGAGGTAGGAGAGCGAATTTGCAATGGGGCGAAACCTCCATAAACCGTTAGATATCTGTGATCAAATGAAATGATTGTAAATTTAAATAATTTCCCACAGATTCCTATGGCTTTTGGTGTGATCACGTGGTACCCTGGTGGAAACACAGAGACGAACCTCACGTCTTATTTCTAACATATGAAGGTTTAAAGAAGGTGAACTATTTTCATGTTTTACTCATCTGTGTTTTGGTTGAATTACAAATACATAAGATCAACCTTCACTAATCCCACGATTGTAAGGCGAATCCGAGACTGCTCGCAATAAGAGAGCGGGTATTGTGCGACCATAAAACCCCTATAAATAAAGAGTGAGTAGTTGCACACGTCTAAACTAGTAGTGATTTCCTTAAAAACCCATTTACCTTTCAGGATCTATCTGGTAACGTTCGACTAATCAGCGAATTTCTCGAGAAGCCACTTTCAGATGAAGTAATCCGCAAAATCACCCACCAGTGTACGTTTGCAGAAATGAAGAAAAACTCCAACTCTTATGTCATTTCGGCATATGCTACAAAACCAAACTTGCTTCGCAAGGGTCAGATTGGAGACTGGAAGAGCCTCTTCAGTGAAGAATTAAACAAGCAATTTGAAGAAACGTTCTTGACGAAATTGCACGGGACAGGACTGCATTTTGACACAGAATAACGAACATTGATTGGTTTTCAACTTGAAAATCGATTCCTTGTAAAATGCATTTTAGTAATGTAGTGCTTTTCTTTGCAATTCTTCAAGCTATTGCGTAGCTAAGCAAAGCAATCTCTTTTCTGTGAAGCTTCAGACGGGCACGGATGAAGAGTAATATGGGTGTGGTAGAGTGACCTAAAGTTTGTACGAGGAGAGAAAGCGAAAACGTTAATCTCGTTCCCAGATCCTACCTTTTAACTGCAACTGAAAAGTCGGACTTTACAACCACTTGACCGTGGAGAGTCTGGATACGAGACTATGAAAACGTAGAGGGTGGGGTGGGGGGGGGGGGAAAGAGGTTATTGGGGAGAAAGAAGGAAAAGCTCCACCCTACCCATCTCCTAAAGCTTATGAGAAGAAATCTTTCGCCGCGGACGTCAAACAACAGTACATTTTTCCTCCTCCTATGGCAGCTTCTCCAGGATCTTGATGATCTTGTTTTACGAACGGAACGAGAAGAACTTCAACTCCACTGAGAGCTACGAAGGTTCCTGGCATGTAAAACGCTGGAGGGTACAGTCCGAAACTGTTCGCTACGAATTCAACCGACGGAATATCACTGGTATCAGAATACCGATGTAGATGAAAGACCAGTTCATTTTCTATCACCTAGGGAGGGAGGGCTGGGAGGATTTTGGCCGTGTCACGATAAAATCAACCCAGTCCCCCCTAGGGCTCTTTGATATTCTTATGACCTCCCTCCCTCCCCCCATTACTGACAGTTAATTGGCAGTCAACTTTCTTTAGTCCCATCTCTTTATATTCTGTTAGTGACGACTAATTCCCTGGCAAAGTGGGAGAATTATTTGGGGGCCACGGTTTTGGTTTTCTTTTTTTCGTCACCAACGCCACACAGCAAGTTACAAAACGTAAATATGATTCTTTTTGGTGCCTTTCTGGGTGCCACCGATGCCTTTTCCGATACCTCCATTGTTTATTACAGTAGTAAAAGATATATGTGCAATCAGCACTTTTGAAATATTGCTTAACATTTCATTTAGCAGAGTACACTGTTAACGTTTCGGCTTTATAAGACCTTTGTTTTCCGCAACTATAATTGATACGTCTCTACATGAGTTATTAAACTTGTTTCCCCGCTGACCACTCGTATTTCATTTTTCATAACTGTTATTCTTCGCCCGCTCGTCGCCCGTGATGTAGTAACTCTCGAAATGGTTTAGCGTGACGACAAATGGTTTAGTAAAAACCGAAATGGTTTAGTGTTACAGTAGATGGTGTAAGCTGTAACCGCCAAAAATATAAAAGTGAAATGGACAAATCAAGCTTGAAATGAAACAGTTTATGTGGAGTCTTACGTAACAACCCTTACGTCATTCAGATCGAATTTGGCGCCAAATTCGCCAGAACGATCGCGTTAATGAGGTATTCGCCACGTCGTCCACTCGACATTCAACACAGGAAGAAATTATTTCTGTAGCCTCGTCTACTAGACTCAGCGAGCCTTATTCCGGTAATAGTCATTTTTTATGTTTGCCTATTTTCGCTTGTTAGCGAATAAATTTATGCCCTCGTCATCTTACCGCAATATCAGTAAGTAAATGATATTTCGGATGAAACCGTTTTCAGTAGCTTAATAATCAGTTAGTAAAAATGAAAGTAAACTTAAGTTTATATTTCACAATAAAGTCTTTTCTTATCGATTCAAACCATACGTTTTTTTAATCTCCAATTGTTATAGTTTGTTAAAATTAAAGTAATATAATATTTCCACTTCAGCGTACAAAAAACTCAAGGTTAATGTTCCTGTAGTGGTGCGTTTAGAACGTAGGTTGTTGATAATTTTAATGTGACGCGTGAACACTGTAATTAATTTGAGTTAAAGACTACTTCAAACATTTTCATCGGGAACACTGCCGCAGATAGCTTTCCCGCCTTCTCTGTCAGCCAGTGGAACCACGCCACTGTCTGATTGTGTGCATGTGGCTGTTAGACTATTCGGATTATGATGGGTCAAATATCATGTAGCATAGAAAACCGTGCGGCAGGTTTCCTGCCCTTTTAAGCTTCTCTATGGTGCCATGCTTCTTGCTGTTTGGTCAGCAGACTGAAAGTCGTATTCTGATTGGCAAGTTTTCTCGCCTTCACAGTTAGTCGGTGGTGCCACGCTTCCCTCTCATAGGTTAGCTGGCAAAGAGTCACATTTTGATTGGTCATATTTCTTCTGTCGTTTAACGAAGGCGCAGTTTTCCCGCCATTTTAGGTTGTTGTGCCGCCTTCTTCCTGGTTGAGTTGCTGCATATCAAACTCTTTCCCCAGTGCGACGAACATTTGTTTTTCTCGGTTCCAGGTGTACGCAACCACTAACCCCACGTAATGCGCATGCTCTCCGTTACGAATTTTCAAAATGGCGGACAGGTCAAAGAGGGAAATTAAAAAACACAAAGCGATTTTGCAATGAATTCTCAACATACACCCTCGTTAGAAAGGCGAATCCACGGAAGAAAGATACAAAACTGTATGCTATTAAGATCGATATGATATTAAATCGATACCGAGGGCCCGTTTAATTGCCTTCCGCCACGATTATTAGCTTTCTTGACAGCTTTCTAAGGGCAGAATACTTTCTTTCTGAAGACTTCTGATATGCGGTTATTGATTATTACACCTCGTATACCTGATTGCTCAAACACTTTGTTTACGATTGTTGAAAGGACCGACTCATGGTTCTCCGTCTTCGTCTTGACATTGCAGTTTGAAATAGTATAGACTAGTAAGCTGAAACGAAAAATTAATCAGGGAAGTTTACGAAAAATCCAGCAAACAAGCTTTAAAAAGGCATTTATTTAGACTTCATACTTCAACGAACTTCACAAATCTCACTTGTTTATCTTGTAAGTAAACGATGGCAGATTAATTCCCGAAGCGCTTTCTGAGTTTCCCGATCTCTCTCCTACTGCTTTCACGCTTACAAAACAGGAAAATAAAAAGGAGGAAGATACAGCTGTTTTGAAACGCCATTTGACGAAGGTAAATCTGCTTTTTGTTCGACACTTTACATATCAAAACAAAGGAAATTTGTTCCTCTTTTTGATTCTGGCGGTACATTTTTAATTTGCGCCTGCGTAAAAGAGATATCGCCCGAGACCCTTCGCTCGGTTGTGTTTTGATCAAAAACGCCTTGTTAATTTCACGCAACCACTCGGAGAAAAGGTAAAAATGACGAGGGAAAAACTTTATCTTCAAGTTAGAAAATTAGCGAAATAGAAAGCCATAATATTATAGTTTAATATTTCAGAGGTAAATTGAGTGCTTTTTCCGTACAGAATCCGCACGATGGTAAAACATTCGAAAATTACTCTCGATTTGAGTGGGGTGTTGAAGTGGGCGTGGTCACTACATTCATGTTAAGACTATTTGTACCCCATGAGTTTGATATGCTACAAGTTTGCATTCTGACAGGTTAAATGTCAAATGTATGGTATGGGACAATTCTCACTAACTGTTATTCGTTTTAATATAAAGGTACAAATGTGGAAGAGGCCAAAAGAATTCTCAGAGATAGTGGAATGCCGCTGATCCCAGCAGATGATATGGATGACGCGGCCCAAAAAGCAGTCACAAGTCTTACGAACTAACGTCTGTTTTTGGACCATCTAGTTAGTTAATCCTTTAACCTCTTGCGCTAAAATCGCAGGGTCCTCGACCCACAACTCATGCAAAAAAAAGTTAAAACTGATAAATAAGAACATCATTCCCCCCTCTTCCACTCCTTTCGTGCTTCGTCAGGAGAGGCAGACGTCGCAGAACTCACTCAACGCAATAAGGAGGGAGAATGTTGCGTGACTACTTTTACAGCTGTCACGAGAAAAACAAAAGAAGGAGGGTACGTAAGTGTTGCGCAACTATGGGCAGCCGTCACCACCAATCGCTTGTTGGTTTCGGCGAGATAGCCTTCACGTCACGCCACCAAAAATGCAAACCTCAAATGGAAAGCGATCTGCTGGGGGGCATGACGTCATTGAATGCGAAGAATGTCGCGAAACCATCACAAGGTGTAAGAGTCTTACTTCGCCTTGCCGTAAAGCAGAGCCAATTCGGTGAGTTTCTCCTTTTTTTCCCGCCGATATTGCATTTATTCGTTGTCGTTCATGTAAGTGTTAATTAAAATAGCAACGAGACTGGATTCTACCACGGTTTGCCGGCCTCCCGGTTTACCACAGTTTGCACGCGTTGGTGAGCCTGAATGTTTAGAGTATTAAGTAGTGTTAAGACATACATTAAATGTCGATTGCCGAGCTCTCTTTTCTTTTCTGACTCGCGCTTACTTTTCAATGAGAGTTTAACTGCAAAGGCTCTTTGAACATTGCAGGAGTACTTGAGAAGTTGGATTTTGTGTGTGCCTCGGACGCTATGGTGAGTAAAACTGATATCCTTGATCCGTTTTGACATGTTTCAATCAAGCACGTAGTGTTTGCCAAAGCAACCTTTTATCCGAGTTGGTTTTATCGTCCGGCACACCAATTCAAGCATTCTGATATCACTTTTATTGAAGAATGTCAAAACGATCAAGTATATCAGTTTTCTTACCATGGAGAGCACGAAAGATGCGTAAGAGTTGCTCGAGGCGTAGCTGAGAGCAACTCTAGCTTCTTGAGTGCTCTCCAAACTTCCCAAGTGCTTCATATCTCGATGAACGCACAGCTGACGTATGAACCAATTGTTTTATAACATTTTCAACCTGATTTATAACATAGATAGTAAATTTGTGTAATCAAATTTAATTGCGCGAGCGTGCTTCATATTTCTATTGTGCAAAAAAATTTTCCATCGGGTTGAAAATGTTATAAAACAATTGGTTCTGAAATTAAGAGATCCTCGCAGCTAAGAACACTACTGAAACGAGTTGTTGATAATAGGACCCGAAAAAAATTCAGGCCCGTACGGGATTTGAACCCCAATTGGTTCATGCGTCAGCTGTGCGTTCGTCGAGATATGAAGCACTTAAGAAGTTTGGAGAGCACTCAAGAAGCTAGAGTTGCTCTCGGTTACGCCTCAAGCAACTCTTATGCATCTTTCGTGCTCTCCAAACTTCCCGCGTGCTTCATATCTCGATGAACGCACGCTGACGTATGAACCAATTGTTAAGGAAATTTTTTTTTTTTCTCGAGGGATTTGTTTGTTGATGTCATGAGCGTGCACAATAGGAATATGAAGCACGCTCGCGCAATTGAATTTGAATTTGGTTTCGACAAGATTGTCTCCACGGCACGCCATAAGCAAGCTCGACGATTCGCCACAAAATCGAAATATTTCATGCAATACTAAGCTATTTAATGTTCAGTTAGAGCATCTGATGTTCTGCAAAGACGTGTGTAAGCTGTACCATTCGACATTACACTGAGCCATTTGACGCAACGCTACACCATTTGTGTGTACGCTGTACAATTCTAAATTACGCTGAGCCATTTGACGCAACGCTACACCGTTTATGCGTACGCTGTGCTACTCGACATTACCCTGAGCCATTTGACGCAACGCTACACCGTTTGTGAACTATATTGCAAATGAGTGCTAAGTTATTCGTAATTGAGCTAGTCCATTTCACAATTTCATGTTCCAACTCGACATGGGCAACTGGACCGTTTATCATTTGGCTAGACTATTCATGTTTAGGGTATTCTGTTTCATGAAGGAAAACTAAACCGTCTATAATTTGGTCATGCCATTCCTTTATTAGCTATTCTATCCTGCAGCTGATCCTTAAATCAGCTTTGTATTTGCTGATCTATTTGACATCCTTGTATTTTTGGTGGTGACGGCCGCTCATACCGCAACAGTGTACACGTTACATATATCTTTTACTACCGTAATATGCAGTGGAGGCATCGGAAAGTCATCGGTGACATCCGGAAAGGCACCAAGAAGAATTCTATTCACGTTTTGTAACTTGCAGAAAATAATGGTGTTGTGAGGCCGAAATGTAACTAGGTTATACTTCGCTAATTTAAAAGTTAAGCAATTTTCCAAAGCTTTGACTGGTGCCATATTTTTTTATTGCCAAATTACCCAACGGAGGCATCGGGAAGGCATCGGTGACACCGGGAAAGGCATCAACAAGAATGATATTTACGTTATGTAACTTGTTGTGTGACGAAAAATAAGTATTTTGACTTGTTTAAGGCGTTAATCACAGCTGGCTTACTTTTCACTTGAATTTTTACAATCATATTTCGACTTTTGTTTCCGGAAAAATGAAAAGCTAAGCAACTCTACAAAAATTTCGTTTTCGATCGATTTTTCTATTTTTAGAGACATTTATAAGTTTGTATTCACAGCCTAAGATAAGAAATTTAAATATTTCCATTAAAGTTATTTAACGGTATTATATATATTTCAATCGCCCCCATTTCACGTAAAGAAAGGACAAGAAGGAAAACACTGAGCTTCGAAAAACAGCCAAGTTTGGGCCAATGTCTCTCCCATCCTTAAATTTTTATAATCAAGGCCACTCGTTTTGGGACCGTTTTCTCAAAAGATCCAGACGTTAAAATAATTCTGTTTTCCCTTCGAATTTTTTTCCCCTATCATTTCAATTTAACAAATGTACTCGGCGATGAAAACTTCGTCTGAACCGAACAAAGGCCACAAATTTTGAATTCTGCGATGTTCTCCACTGTTGGCTCCATCACGTTACGATTCTGGATTTTTGACACTCGCGAAAGTCTATTTTAGTTGACTACCAAGGACTGTCTTACTTACCTTGGTAAATAAAAGTCTATACACGACGTTAAATTCATGATCTGGTTCAATGTTAAAGTCAGCTTTAAAATTTTAACTCTGCTCCTCTGACAAGATGCCGCCCTTACGGCGGGTGAAATGTTGTGTAAGCGTCTCCGTGCACATCCAGGACAACTTGCATGGAAAAACTGGCCACAGCTATCGCACCCAAGCCAATCCTCTCCATCGTTGTAATATTTCGGCTTTACAACACGGTTGTTTTCTGCAAGTCAGATTGCAAAACATATATCAGTATACCGAACCCAGTCTTCCCTCCTAGCACGTCTCATGTATTCATGATATCAGCGAATTAATGATCAGATGACATTTCAGTATTATCCTGAATTTAGGCCCGAGAACGTGTAGCAACGGTAAAACGTAAATAGAATTCTTCTTGGTACCCTTCGGATGCCATCGATACCTTTATAAGTATACAGCACTATTGTTCTCTGCAACTACCAATGATCTGTCTGTATATGAAGCATTAAAGTTGTTTCACTGCTGACCACTCGATCGTATTTCGGTCTTTTTTTTTCCTTCCTCAGCTCGTCGCCAGTGATGTAGTGTCTCCCCTACGATGTCGGAACACTTCACAGTCATTCAAGAAAAGGAAGGGAGTTCTTTGGACCACGACAAGCGTTGATTCATGGCGTACGATTAACATTTTATGCACCCAACATTGATAAAGACTTTGAGAGGGACTTGAGTCGTTTTGAAACCCGATCAGAGGATATTTATGTGGTTAGTTTCCCAAAATCAGGTAAGGCTATAGACTGAGATTGGATCACATTAATTGTGGCAAGTTAAACGCGGTTAAAGTTTTAAGCAGCCAACAACTATGCATGTAATCTTTCGCCGTCCTGGGTGAGAAGCTCGCATATGTTTACAACCGAGCAAATAAATGCGTGCAAAGAAAACCAATTTCCATAATTGATCAAATAAGTGCGTGAAACTGACTGAGTGCTTACAAACCTCTATAGGATCGTACATCATAGAATGGTCGCGTGGTCCGAATGGGTAACAACAGTCACGGCCATAGTAAGTTTATCAGAAGGGCTAAGTTTCTAAAGAAATTGTCGTGCTGCGTCAGTGAGGGGTATAACAGAATAATTTGGTTTTATCAACTGAGTTGATAATGTAAATTGGCCATCGTAAGGAGTTTATAGAGCTGCCGTTTCAAAAGTTAGCCCTTCGCTCGAACGAAGGAATCAGCTTTACGATTAACAATTAACACGTCCAGCATTGATAAGGATATTAAGAGGAATTTGCGTCGTTTTGAAACCTGTTCAGACGATATCTATGTGGTCAGTTTTCCAAAATCAGGTAAGGCTGTAGATCGATCCTTTCGATAGGCCACTTTGCTTCACTTCGTCGCCAATTTCTTTTACAGTGCAGTCTTTTGAGTGCTGATTTATTTGCTAATAGGGACAACTTCGGCAAAAAAATAGAAATTTTGTCTACAAGACGTCCGCAATTTTTGAATCATTGTTTGGTTGCCATGTGAACTTTAATATATTTTACATGGTTTAGCCATTTTAAACCGCGTGAACTCATAACTTAAAAGGTCCTTAGGGAGAGTAAGTAAAACAGCTTAATTTTTACAGCAAACCAAATCACTCCGTATAATTGATAGAGTAGCTCATGTTTACAACTGACCAAATTAGCGCGTGCAAGAAATGCAAACCGCGGACAACGAGATCTGAACTAAACTTTCTTTCCTTTTTTCAGGAACAACCTGGGTGCAAGAAATTGTCTGGCAAATATTCAACGATGGAAAAATCAGCGAAGAAAGGATGGAAAGTCGCCATCCCTTTTTGGAAAAAAATCAGCTTTTCGATAGGCCTAGAGACGAGTCAGACGGACAGAAGGTCTCCGTGACTTCTCGGCCCAGTCCCCGCTTAATTAGGTCACATCTTCCTTACCATGTGATTCCGATGAGTAAAGAGGAGAGCAAAAAAGAAGCAAGTATATTTACGTGGCAAGAAATCCAAGAGACGTTGCTGTTTCATATTATCACTTTGTCCTAAGCTTTGGCCCTAGCAGTTACTTTAATGGGACGTGGGAGTTCTTTGTAAAGTTGTTTCTTGAGGGCAAAAGTAAGGATTTTTATTCGTTGGAAATAGTTTTCGCTGTAAGCTAAGCGGAAGTTTGACGGCATTGCGAGCTCGCCTCCTACTATCTCTGCAAGTTCGCCACTTGAGTAAAAAAACAAGCTCGCTCCCTCTGCCTCAAGAAAACGTGTTGAACGATTTAGTTTCTGAAGAAACTGTGGGGCTGCTTCGGTGTGGTAGTATATAACGAGAGAAATCATTTGTTTCTATCAAATGAGTTGAAAATGTAAATTGGCTACCGTAAAGAGTTTCAAAGCTCACGTTTCGCGCGTTAGCCCTTCGTCAGAGTAAAAAAGACAAGCCATTTGCCATTCGCTCTGACAAAGGGCTAACGCGCGAAACGTCAGCTTTGAAACTCTTTACGGTGGCCAATTTACATTATCAACTCGGCTGATAAAACAAAAATTATCTTGAAAGATTTAGGGGCGAGCTGGAAAAGGTAGGTGCAAACCTGTGTCACTTCAGGGGGCAAACTCGCAAGGGAAGGTAGGAGAGCGAACTTGCAATGGGGTGAAACTTCCATAAACCGTTAGATATCTGTGATCAAATGAAATGATTGTAAATTTGAATCATTTCCTGCAGATTCATATGGCTTTTGGTCTGATCACGTGTTGCCCTGGTGGAAACACAGAGATGAACCTCACGTCTTATTTCTCAAATATGAAGATTTAAAGAAGGTGAGCTATTTTCATGCTTTACTCATCTTTGTTTTAGTTGGACTACAAACACATAAGATCAACCTTCACTAGTCCGACCATTATAACGCGAATCCGAGACTGTTATCAGTAAGGGAGCGAATACTGTGCAACCGTAAACCCCTGTAAATAAATAGTGAGTAGTTGCACAAGTCTAAACTTGTAATGATTTCCATAAAAACACATTTACCTTTCAGGATCTTCGTGGTAACGTTCGACTAATCAGCGAATTTCTCGAGAAGCCACTTTCAGATGAAATGATCCGCAAAATCGCCCACCAGTGTACATTTGCGGAAATGAAGAATAACTCCAACTCTTATGTCATTTCGGCATATGCTACAAAACCAAACTTGCTTCGCAAGGGTCAGATTGGAGACTGGAAGAGGCTCTTCAGTGAAGAATTAAACAAGCAATTTGAAGAAACGTTCTTGACGAAATTGAACGGGACAGGACTGCATTTTGACACAGAATAACGAACATTGATTGGTTTTCAACTTGAAAATCGATTCCTTGTAAAATGCATTTTAGTAATGTAGTGCTTTTATTTGCAATTCTTCAAGCTATTGCGTAGCTAAGCAAAGCAATCTCTTTTCTGTGAAACTTCAGACGGGCACGGATGAAGAGTAATATGGGTGTGGTAGAGTGACCTAAAGTTTGTACGAGGAGAGAAAACGAAAACGTTAATCTCGTTCCCAGATCCTACCATTTAACTGCAACTGAAAAGTCGGACTTTACAACCACTTGGCCGTGGAGAGTCTGGATACGAGACTACGAAAACGTAGAGGGTGGGGAGGGGGAAGAGGTTATTGGGGAGAAAGAAAGAAAATCTCCACCCTTCCCATCCCCTAAAGCTTATGAGAAGAAATCTTTCGCCGCGGACGTCAAACAACAGTAAATTTTTCCAGCACCAATAGTGCCACTCCTATGGCAGCTTCTCCAGGATCTTGATGATCTTTTTTACAAACAGAACGAGAAGAACTTCAACTCCACTGAGAGCTACGAAGGCTCCTGGCGTGTAAAACGCTGGAGGGTACAGTCCGAAACTGTTCGCTACGAATTCAGCCAACGGAATATCACTGATATCAGAATACCGATAAAGATGAAAGACCAGTTCATTTTCTATCACCTAGGGAGGGAGGGCTGGGAGGATCAACCCAGTCCCCCCTAAGGCTCTTTGATATTCTTATGACCCCCCCTCCCTCCCCCTTACTGACAGTTAATTGGCAGTCAACTTTCTTTAGTCCCATCTCTTTATACTCTGTTAGTGACGACTAATTCCCCCCCCCCTCCTTCGTTCCCACTAAAATCCATACCATCTCCTCAAGTCTTCGGCGTAGTCGGGAAAAGGGAACACAGATGAAGACGGACTTTAATTCGCCGCTTTCGGTGGACGGGAGCCAATTTGGGTTCACACGATCAATGAGAGTATATCAACCCTAACATCAGAATGTATATTATCCATACCTTTTTCGATACCTTTCCGTGGGAAAAAGGAAAAAACGTGCTTGGGCCAATCCAGAAGATTAGACTTACTGGAAAGGACGTGAAAAAAAAAAAAAAATTACAAATTAAAAAATTACGGCCAGTGCGAAACCTTGCTCCATGAAATAAGAACATCATTCTTCCCCTCCTCCACTCCTTTCGTGCTTCGTCAGGAGAGGCAGACGTGGCAGAACTCATTCAACGTATTAAGGAGGGAGAGTGTTGCGTGACTACTTTTACAGCGGTCACGAGAAAAACAAAAGAAGGAGGGTACGTAAGTGTTGCGCAACAGTGCACACGTTACATATATCTTTTACTGACGTAATATACAATAGGGGCATCTGAAAAGTCATCGGTGACATCCGGAAAGGCGCCAAGAAGAATTCTATTCACGTTTCGTAACTAAACAATAGTGTTGTGAGGCCGAAATGTAAGTTACACTTCACTAATTAAAAAGTTAAGCAATTTTCCAAAAGCTTTGACTAGCACCATATTATTCATTGTGAAATTAATCAACGGAGGCATTGGGAAGGCATCGATGACACCGGGAAAGGCATCAACAAGAATGATATTTACGTTATGTAACTTGTTGTGTGACGAAAGGCCTAAGAACGTGTTGCAACGGCAAAACGTAAATAGAATTCTTCTTGGTACCCTACTGGATGCTATCGATAGCTTTTCCGATGCTTCCATTGTCTATTTCAACTGGAAAAGATTTATGTAAAAACAGCACTTTTGAAAATTGCTTAACATTTTATTTAACGAAGTGTACTGTTGACATTTTAGCGTTACAACACGTTTGTTTTCTGCAACTAACAATGATCTGTCTGTATCAGTGAAGCATTAAAGTTGTTTCACTGCTGACCACTCGATCGTATTTCGGTCTTTTTCCTTCCTCAGCTCGTCGCCAGTGATGTAGTATCTCCCCGACGATGTCGGAACATTTCACAGTCATTCAAGAAAAGGAAGGAGAGTTCTTTGGACCACGACAAGCGTTGATTCATGGCGTACGATTATCATTTTATGTGCCCAACATTGATAAAGACTTTGAGAGGGACTTGAGTCGTTTTGAAACCCGATCAGAGGATATTTATGTGGTTAGTTTTCCAAAATCAGGTAAGGCTATAGATCGAGATTGGATCACGTTAATTGTGGCAAGTTTAACGCGGTAAAATCTCTACGCAGCCGACAATTATGAATGCAATCAGTCATGGGTGAGAAGCTCGCATATGTTTAAAACCTAGCGAAGAAATGCGTACAACGAAAACCAATTTCCGTTACTGACCGAATAAGTGCGTGAAACTGACAACAGTCACAGCCATATTAAGTTTCTCAGGAGGGTAAGTTTCTATAGAAATTTTATTGCTGCGTCAGTGAGGGGTATAGCAGAATAATTTGGTTTTATCAACTGAGTTCATAATGTCGATTGGCCATCGTAAAGAGTTTATAGAGCTGCCGTTTCGAAAGTTAGCCCTTCTCTCGAACGAGGGAATCAGCTTTACGATTAACTAGACCCTGTGAGCGGGGTAACTGGGATACCTGGATGGTACTGGATCCTTGGAATCAAGTGTAGTGATACTACGGGTGTCGGATTAGTATACTGAAGTAGTGCGCTCAAGTCTGGCCAAGGGCATACACCTATTTCAAAACATAGGCATTCTATGCATGCAAGAGTTACTTTTTTGTAGGGTGGGTGGATTACTTGAAACATTGTGAGTGATGTCTACATTCTTACAAAAGGAGAGAAGAATATTAATGTGGCAAAGAACGAAAATGTCAAATTACCTCACTCACAGGTATTTTGTGGTAGATTATGTGTGTTTTGCAAATAAATGTAACCAAAAATAAACTGTATTGGTGCCACGGATACCTGTCAGTACAAAATGCAGACTGCAGAGTGGGTACAAAATGCAGACTAAGAATCTGAAGAGTTTTTACGTCTGGTATATAATAATATGTCATCTTACAGCTTACCGAGCGTCACGCAATCGCTTTTCTGCGATCCGCCTTCACGATTATTTGCACTATTTTGGAATATTCCTGGCCCATTTCTTGATGAAAATCGATCGCAATATTATTTCAAGCCTTCAATATAGTCTTCTTACTTTGCGCGCGAGTTGGTTGGTGTGATGTCTGTACAGATTTTACCAACGTAATAAAAGTAGATGACGTGAGTAACAGTGATAGTAAAGCAAGCTTAAAACGGCAGAAATCGCAGAAAATACAACGGATACACAGGGTATGAGTAAGTTTTATTGATTTTACGAGAAAAATGTTCATATTTCGAAATATGTATCGTTGTAAATCGACCATACTTCGTTCCCTATACTATTCCTTATAACGTGCAGTTCCTCTCGTAACTTAACACCGAGTCACACAACGCGTGACGCGTTCATGGATTAATCGTTGGCTTTTTCTCGAGACTTGAGCTTGGGCCGCCTGTGACAAGACAATTGCGTTAACAATATTTAACATAATAACATTATACACAAAAAAAACACAGGGTTTTGGATCACGTATTTATTAAAAAAGAATATCCATACAACTACAATGAAAACAAACATAAGATTCACCTTTCTGATCGTGAAATTAATACCATTCGTACTGTTATCGTAGCTACGTTCCTTGCCATCAAGTGAATCCAACATGTCGTCTTTCTTCACGAACAGTTTGCATCCATTATAGTTATGTTCTTCAGTCTCACGGTAGTAGTGTTGTTCAATAGATTGCATAGAGTATATGCAGTTTGGTTTCAGATTTCAGATTTTGCTTTTTACAACAAGAGAACGTTTTTCAACTAAGACATTGGCATACTTAGCCTACTAGGCATTTAGGGCTTTCATGGCTTTCAAGAGTTCGCGACTTTATCCGTTCCAAAATTACCGCTCAATAACATCTTTCAGTGTGGATTAGCCGCGATTAATACGACTTCTATATGCGTCTGTAAGTATTTTGCGCGTTTGCGCCATAATGCTCCAGGAGATCGCAATCCAAATACATTGAAATACAAAACAACCGACCAAAGAGTTTTATAAGCAAAATCTCGTGATTCGTCATGTGACCCGGCCCTGTCTGTGCATGACAACATCAATCATTATCAAGATAACACGCGTGATCAGCATGTGAACGCCTTCACTGGATCACAGTTAGTTGTCATGGTGTTGAGGGATAACACGCGTGATCAGCATGTGAACATCTCATTGGATCACAGTTAGTTGTCATGGTGTTGAGGGCCCAATGACCTCTGGGTACTATTGCGCAATTTTCCATTTTGTGGCGGAGGAAAAAAAAAAAAAAAAAGGGACAAAAAGCAAAGGCATTTTCTCTTTGTCGCCGATTTCTTTTACAGTGTAGTCTTTTGAGTGCTGAGTTATTTATGACTAGGGAAAATTTCGGCAAAAGAAAACGGGATTTTGTCCATAAGACGTCCACAACACATGCTATTTTTTAATCATTGTTTGGTTGCAATGTGAACTTTAATATATTTTACATATGCAAATAGGTAGGTTTACAGTAGACACTTGTCTCTAAATTACCCTAAACCCCTCTGGACACATTTAAATCAAGAAAGGGCAAATGTCTATCCTTATCACGCTCGAGGGTGGATTGGATCGACGGCTCTACTGAATTAAAATGCGATAGGAGGCGCTCCGCTTCAATTCCGAACACCGCAGAAATAACATCATCGACATGTCGTTTCCAGAAAAAGGGTTTAACCGGCGAAGTGGCTAAGGCCCTCAGTTGTTCCACGTCTCCATTACCAGGTTGGCAATGACAGCAGAGACGGGCGAACCCATAGCTGTACCAAAAACTTGTTGATAGTAGGTGTCGTTATATGCAAATAGCGTGGTTTCGAGGCAAAAAGACAGCAGATGAATAATATCCTCCACAAGCAAAGAAGTTCTTTGTCCTAGGGAAGCATCTTCTCTGAGTCTCTCCTCCGCAACCTTAACGGCAAGATCAACTGGGATTTTAGCGAAGAGCGAAACAACGTCGAAAGATACCAATTCTTCACAAGCGTTAAGAGTCTTATCTCTTATGAAATCCTCAAATTCGCAGGAATTTTTGACAGTGTAATCAGTATTCCGAACAACAGGCGACAAAATTTTCGCAAGACAGCCAGAAATTGCGTAAGTCGAAGAATTATCAAAAGAAACAATGGGTATCAAAGGAATTCCCGGTTAATAAATTTAAGTAAGCCATACAAACGTGGACATAAGCCGTCACAAAAAGGTAGCTAATTAGTGACCATATGAAAGGACCTCTTGTTTGCAGCGTTTAGATCACCCCTGATGAAGGCACTAGACAGGAGTGTCGAAACGTTGGGTCTATGGATTGTAACTTCTTCGCTTACATTCATTAAATTTGTAAACCAGAGAAGCATCAAACCATGTCTTACTGTTTAGCCATTCTAAACCACGTGACCTCATAGCTTAAAAGGTCCATAGGAGAGCACGTAAAGCAGCGTAATTTTTACAGCAAACCAAATCACTCCGTATAATTGACAGAGTAGCTCATGTTTACAACTGACCAAATTAGTACGTGCAAGAAATGCAAACTGCGGACAACGAGATCTATCTTTTCCGTTTTTTCAGGAACAACCTGGGTGCAAGAAATTGTCTGGCAAATACTCAACGATGGAAAAATCAGTGAAGAAAGGGTGGAAAGTCGCTCTCCCTTTTTGGAAAAAAGTCAGCTCTTCGATAGGCCTGGAGACGAGTCAGACGAGCAGAAGGTCTCCGTGACTTCTCGGCCCAGTCCCCGCTTAATTAAGTCACATCTTCCTTATCATGTGATTCCAAAGAGTAAAGAAGAGAGCAAAAGAAGCAAGTATATTTACGTGGCAAGAAATCCAAGAGACGTTGCTGTTTCATATTATCACTTCGTCCTAGGCTTTGGCCCTAGCAGTTACTTTAAAGGGACGTGGGAGTTCTTTGTAAAGTTGTTTCTTGAGGGCAAAAGTAAGGATTTTATTTGTTGGAAATGGTTTTCGCTGTAAGCTAAGCGGAAGTTTTACGGCATTGCGAGCTCGCCTCCTACTGTATCTGCAAGTTCGCCACTTGAGGAAAAACAAGTTCGCTCCCACCTTTATCAGTTCGCCCCCAAATCTTTCAAAGGTACTATGATTTCGACAGCAAAACAATGCTTTCTGCCTTAAGGAAACGTGTTGAACGATTTAGTTTCTGAAGAAATTGTGGGGCTGCTTTGGTATGGTAGTATATAACAAGAAAGTTTATTTATTTTGATGAACTGAGTTGATAATGTAAACTGGCCACCGTAAAGTTTCAAAGCTCACTTTTCGCACGTTAGCCCTTCGTCAGAGCAAAAGACAAACCATTTGCCATTCGCTCTAACAAAGGGCTAACGCGCGAAACGTCAGCTTTGAAACTCATTACGGTACTAATTTATTTATCAACTCGGTTGATAAAACAAAAATTATCTTGGAAGGTCTAAGCGCGAGCTGGGAAAGGTGGGTGCAAACCTGTGTCACTTCAGGGGGCGAACTCGCAAAAGACGGTAGGAGAGCGAACTTGAAATAGGGCGAAACTTCCATAAACCGTTAGATATCTGTGATCAAATGAAATGATTGTAAATTTGAATCATTTCCTGCAGATTCATATGGCTTTTGGTCTGATCACGTGCTACCCTGGTGGAAACATAGAGGCGAACCTCACGTCTTATTTCTCAAATATGAAGATTTAAAGAAGGTGAGCTATTTTCATGCTTTACTCATCTTTGTTTTAGTTGAACTACAAATACATAAGATCAACCTTCACTAGTCCGACCATTATAACGCGAATCCGAGACTGTTATCAGCAAGGGAGCGAATACTGTGCAACCATAAAACCCCTCTAAATAAATAGTGAGTAGTCGCACAAGTCTAAACTTGTAATGATTTCCTTAAAAACCCATTTACCTTTCAGGATCTTTGTGGTAACGTTCGACTAATCAGTGAATTTCTCGAGAAGCCACTTTCAGATGAAATGATCCGCAAAATCGCCCACCAGTGTACGTTTGCGGAAATGAAGAAAAACTCCAACTCTTATGTCATTTCGGCATATGCTACAAAACCAAACTTCCTTCGCAAGGGTCAGATTGGAGACTGGAAGAGCCTCTTCAGTGAAGAATTAAACAAGCAATTTGAAGAAACGTTCTTGACGAAATTGAACGGGACTGGACTGCATTTTGACACAGAATAACAAACATTGATTAGTATTCAGTTTGAAAATCGATTCCTTGTAAAATGCATTTTAGTAATGCAGTGCTTTTATTTGCAATTCTTCAAGCTATTGCGTAGCTAAGTAAAGCAATCTCTTTTCTGTGAAGACGGGCACGGATGAAGAGTAATATGGGTGTGGTAGAGTGACCTAAAGTTTGTACGAGGAGAGAAAGCGAAAACGTTAATCTGTTTCCCAGATCCTACCATTTAACTGCAACTGAAAAGTCGGACTTTACAACCACTTGGCCGTGGAGAGTCTGGATACGAGACTACGAAAACGTAGAGGGTGGGGGGGGGGGGAAGAGCTTTTGGGGAGAAAGGAGGAAAATCTCCACCCTACCCATCCCTAAAGCTTATGAGAAGAAATCTTTCGCCGCGGACGTCAAACAACAGTACAACAGTGCTCCTCTTATGGCAGCTTCTCCAGGATCTTGATGATCTTGTTTTACAAACAGAACGAGAAGAACTTCAACTCCACTGAGAGCTACGAAGGCTCCTGACATGTAAAACGCTGGAGGGTACAGTCCGAAACTGTTCGCTACGAATTCAGCCGACGGAATATCACTGGTATCAGAATACCGATGTAGATGAAAGACCAGTTCATTTTCTATCACCTAGGGAGGGAAGGCTGGGAGGATTTTGGTCGTGTCACGATAAAATCAACCCAGTCCCCCCCAAGGCTCTTTGATATTCTTATGACCCCCCTCCCTCCCTCTCCCTTACTGACAGTTAATTGGCAGTCAACTTTCTTTAGTCCCATCTCTTTATACTCTGTTAGTGACGACTAATTCCCTGCCCCCCCCTTCGTTCCCACCAAAATCCATACCATCTCCTCAAGTCTTCGGCGTAGTTGGAAAAGGGAACACAGATGAAGACGGACTTTTATTCGCCGCTTTCGGTGGACGGGAGTGTAAAATTGGTGAATTGACAGACCAGATGGTGGGATACAACTTAACAACAAAACAAACACCTCCTGATGGAGTGTTTGTGCCAAAAGGTAAACAATGACAGTATCAGAATCTAATCTGTCCTTATTTATTGATGTCATTGCAATGTCAAAGTAGGTTTAGTCTGGGTACTAGACAATTATGAATAGACAGTCATAATAGTAGACATAGAATGTAACGTAAAAGTCACGCTGTGGCGCCTGTCAGTCTCGTATTCATGTAACAGGTGCGTCGTTGGGGATTGTTTTGGCTACGCAGCTGAGTTTACATATATTGTTGGGTCAGTAAATAAATCTCTGTTGAGTTTTTTTCACTTCTCACTCATATTTTGGACATGGAACAATGCCATACGCTACACTATATGCAACATCTCTTTTCTCGATTGTCGATTTCGGAAAAATGAAAAGCTAACTAACTCTACAAAAATTTCGTTCTCGATTTCTATATTTTTAGAGTCATTAATAAGTTTGTATCCACAGCCTAAGATAAGAAATTTAAAATTTCCATCAGCTGTAGTTCTTTTATCGTTTATTGTATATATTCAATTGCACCCATTTCACGTGAAAAAAAGGCAAGTAGGAAAACACTGAGCTTCGAGAAACAGCCAATTTAAGGTTAATGTGTTTACCATGCTTAAATATTTATAATCAAGGCCACTCGCTTATGGAGACCTTTTTTTAAAAGATCTAGACGTTAAAATAATTCTGTTTTCTGTTCGAAGTGTGTTTTTTCTGACTCAATTTAACAAATGCCCTCGGGATGAAAACTTAACGTCCGAACCGATCTGCAAGTGAAATGTTGTGTAAACGTTCCCGCGAAAGGTACTGCACCCAGACAACTTACATGGAAAAAACTGGCCTCAGCTATCGTACCTAATTTTTTTTAAAAAATGTTTAAAACTAAACTAGAGAGCAGCACTGCGAACAGCAGTTGTAAAGTTTTTTATTCTCCGACGCGTTTCCTCTAACTGTCGTAGACTTCCTCAGGGAGTTTTACAAGTTAATACTAAACGCCTGTATTAATAAGCCATAGTTAGTGGCTATACGGGAGCCAATGACCATAAACGCTTGGCCAGACTTACGAAAGGAACAGGCGAAGTTGCGAAAAATTTGAACATTTTTTGGGGCAAAGTGGGAGAATTATTTGGGGGCCACGGTTTTGGTTTTCTTTTTTTCGTCACCAACGCCACACAGCAAGTTACAAAACGTAAATATAATTCTTTTTGGTGCCTTTCTGGGTGCCACCGATGCCTTTTCCGATACCTCCATTGTTTATTACAGTAGTAAAAGATATATGTGCAATCAGCACTTTTGAAATATTGCTTAACATTTCATTTAGCAGAGTACACTGTTAACGTTTCGGCTTTATAAGACCTTTGTTTTCCGCAACTATAATTGATATGTCTCTACATGATGTATTAAACTTGTTTACCCGCTGACCACTCGTATTTCATTTTTCATAACAGTTATTCTTCCCCCGCTCGTCGCCCGTGATGTAGCAACTCTCGAAATGGTTTAGCGTGACGACAAATGGTTTAGTAAAAACCGAAATGGTTTAGTGTTACAGCAGTTGGTTTAAGCTGTAACCGCCAAAAATATAAAAGTGAAATGGACAAATCAAGCTTGAAATGAAACAGTTTATGTGGAGTCTTACGTAACAACCCTTACGTCATTCAGATCGAATTTGGCGCCAAATTCGCCAGAACGATCGCGTTAATGAGGTATTCGCCACGTCGTCCACTCGACGTTCAACACAGGAAGAAATTATTTCTGTAGCCTCGTCTACTAGACTCAGCGAGCCTTATTCCGGTAATAGTCATTTTTTATGTTTGCCTATTTTCGCTTGTTAGCGAATAAATTTATGCCCTCGTCATCTTACCGCAATATCAGAAAGTAAATGATATTTCGGATGAAACCGTTTTCAGTAGCTTAATAATCAGTTAGTAAAAATGAAAGTAAACTTAAGTTTATATTTCACAATAAAGTCTCTTCTTATTGTTTCAAACCATACGTTTTTTAATCTCCAATTGTTATAGTTTGTTAAAATTAAGGAAAGCCGCAGCTATCGGAAATTTTATCCTGAGGTCGTAAAGTTTCTAATAGTTGCGGCTTAACCATGTTGGGAGTTCAAATTGCCATTAGTCAGTTTCAAATTGTTCTTTTCAGTTTCTTACCGTGAAAACTGCCGTTCTTTGAATAGATAATTCTTACCGTGGTTATTCCTAACCACGGTAAGAATTCTCCATTTTACTACCTCAAGATAATATCAGAATCTGAAACAAAAGGAATGACAAAAATACAGATAGAATGCATCATTTTACGCGACAGTACACTTACAGTCTAGACAGTCAGAACCATAGCTAGAAAACGTGATAAAGCGATTTATTATTTTAAGACGACGAAACTACAACTAAAGGGCGCCTAAAAACTATAAAACTATATAGTTAAAAACTACATAGTTATATATAGTTTATAGAGAAAACTGCTGTACTTTAAATGGAGAATTCTTACTATGGTTAGGCGTGACGGTATCCGCCGCTTTCGCCCCCTATCGAGTTCGCCCCTTCGAGTTCGCCCCTACCTTATACCGTGTTCGCCCCCACACTTTTCAAGTTCGACCCCATCAAGTCGAGTTCGCCCCTTGATTGAGTGATATCCAGATGAGTTGATTCGTAAGTTGATGAGTAAATTCTTCAGTCTTAATTTTATAACTAAAGCTAAACGGGTACAAGTCTAACAACTTAAGCAATGCTGTCGCGATGAAAGCGTGGTTTGCATCTTCTCAAGTCTGGTTGTTACGATCACCACATTTCGTGTTCGTTAAATAAACCGTGTGGTTCTCTTTATCACAAGTTCAGTGTATACAGTTATTTCTGGTAACCCCAGATCCCACGCAGAGTATTTAGTTGATTCCGTCAACCCAGTTCCCAAGCAGGTTCCACGCAATTGCCGAAATTCCAAATGGTCGTCGCTGACGTGACATTTGGCACATTCTGCTAGTGCCTTCGTCACAAATCAACTCATCTGGATGTCACTCAATCAAGGGGCGAACTCAACTTGATGGGGTCGAACTCGAAAAGTGTGGGGGCGAACACGGCATAAAGTGGGGGCGAACTCGAAGGGGCGAACTCGATAGGGGGCGAACGCGGTGCAATTCGGCGTGACCATGGTAATGTTAAACGATAAAGATAGAACTATATTTAACCTGAAATATCGTAAAGGCTTCCTTACATTGGTGTTGGGAAAAAGAATGGAAATATTATATTACTTTAAGCCATTCGATACAAAAATTATAATAAGACAGGTTGATTATTTCTTAGGTATCCGCCGCTTTCGCCCCCTATCGAGTTCGCCCCTTCGAGTTCGCCCCTACCTTATACCGTGTTCGCCCCCACACTTTTCGAGTTCGACCCCACCAAGTCGAGTTCGCCCCCGGATTGAGTCATGTCTAAATTAGTTGCTATCGAACATTGCAAACAAGTTAGAACCAAGACAAGATTTGAATTTTAATTGACCGACGCATTCTCTCAAGACGTGACATTTGGAACATTCTGCTAGTGCCTTCGTCACAAATCAACTCATCTGAATATCACTCAATCAAGGGGCGAACTCGACTTGATGGGGTCGAACTCGAAAAGTGTGGGGGCGAACACGGCTTAAGGTAGGGGCGAACTCGAAGGGTGAACTCGATAGGGGGCGAACGCGGTGCAATTCATTTCTTATTCCTTTTGGCGGTCTCATCTAAGTACAATTTCTTTCACCTTTTTCTTATTGCGGTTGTGAATTTGGTACGGAAACAGTTGCTCCGTTTCTACGGTGATTAAATCTTGTACTATTTTGTGATAAGCTATGTTTTTAGTTATGTAAATTTTCTAGTTGTAAATCTTTCTGGTAAAAGTTAACCTCCCACACTCCTGCTTCTTATACAAATTCTTAGTCAAATTCTTAGTCAAATTCACGATTCCAGAATATTTCTTAAATTTTTAAATTAACACCTTCAACACCTCTTCTTAAAAGGTGACTCTGATTGTAAATAGCTTATGCTTTTTCATCTCCGCACTGAATTTGTAATTATATAACTTATGCGAATAGCGCGTAGTTTTCTTGGGGGCGGTACCTTAAGTACGCCCCTTCTTCTCCGAATTTTCTGTTTACTCTGTTGTTATATAACAATCTTCTAAGGCTATTTTCTCGTAAAATATCTTTTCAAGCGTAATTTCAATTCTGCCAATAGGTTAATTATAATTTTTATATTATCAATCTTGTCTTTGTTCTGGTCGATCCTAACCGTAAAATTAAGAAATCTAAGGTAGAAGATGATTTTGTGATTGCGTAAACAACTCAAAGGCGCATACTTAGTATGCAGGAACTGCCGTAGGTACTCTAACGTGATTCGCTGGCTGAAACGGAGCGATCGCGATGTAAGAAGATTGACAGCTTAGAAGTGTCATCTTTGGTGTTTTCATTTCACCAAAGGCGACATGTCCATTAGTATTATAAAAAAATTTCTTGTGATAAGATAAACCGTTCTCGAAGAGACAATTAGACCATTTCTGTTCATTACAAACCATTTGTTATTATAAGTAAGTGTTGCGCAGTAGTGTAGACGTTACAAACCAATGATGTCGGAACGTTTCACAGTCATCCAAGAGAATGAAGGAGAGTTCTTTGGACCACGACAAGTGCTTATTCGTGGCGTACGATTAACAATCAACGCGCCCAGCACTGGTAAGGATCTTGAGAGGGATCTGAGTCGTTTTGAAACCCGTTCAGACGATGTCTATGTGGTCAGTTTTCCAAAATCAGGTAAGGCTATAGATCGATTCTTTCGACTGGCTACTTTGCTTCACTTCGTCGCCGATATCTTTTACACTGCTGTCTTTTGAGTGCTGACTTATTTGTGAATAGGGACAATTTCGACAACAAAAAAAAAACGAAATTTTGTCCATAAGACGTCCGCAACACATGCCATTTTTGAATAATTGTTTGGTTGCCGTGTGAACTTTAGAGGGCATGTAAACCCTAAAAACGTTAATTTTAGAGAATGATATATTTTCGTCTTGTCACGAGCGTGGGACAAAGAAATAATTCTGAGTCCCCATGAGGAATCGAACCTCAGACCTTCGGATTCCGTGCTCCAATGTTCTATCACTAAGCCATAGAGACTACACGGTGTGCGAGGTCTGTTACGAAGTACATATGACACATGTCCTGCATACTGCTAGGATCAGCAATATCGATAGCATAATGTTTGTAGACAGAAATAAGAGAGATGGTAAGTTTTGAGCTCGGTAAAGAAATAGAGATTGATGCTTTTTTCGTCTTCTCACGAGCGTGGGACAAAGTTTTTCTTTTCACATAGATGTTTAGTAAATATATCAAGTACACCAAAGGTACCATTCGTTTTTTTCTGAAAAGTCCATTTTCACTTTGTAAAAGCTCTTGAAAATTCGAAACATTCGCCATCTTAAATGGCGCCATCTTTCCTGTGACCTGAGGGGTGGAACCTCCAAAGTTACATTTTATAACCGCATGAGACACGTAGGAGTCTTCTCCACAGCCATTGTTTGCCGTTCTAGTCATGAGTTTTTACTAACAGTTTGCTTCAATATATTCAATGTTTTCATAATGGTAGAAAGTTGTATCGTCCAGTTTTGTACTGATTCAAACAAAACTGGGCATACAATGCATAGATTTCCAAATGACACAAATTTGAAGCGACAGTTGGTGAACTTTGTTCAGGTGAAAAAAAAGATTTCTATTGCATTTCGATTGTACTCTTGCTTTATTGGATTTTCATGTCAGATACAAATAAATCATACAGTAAATTAAATACCCGTCTGAGTTTCCGAAACGGTAACATCGCTGTCAACATGTTCTCTACAGTCCTTGTGCGAATCCCTTCGGTGAACCCTACGCGACTCATATGTTAAGGACGTGGCCGAGACTCTCCTAAAGATTCTGGATTATCCCCATCGCTGTCATATACTAGGTTTAAGGCATTCGTGTCACTCTCTTCTGAAAAAACATCGTCCAAACTACTGCTACTAATACGTGCTGCAATACCAATCTTCCTGTGGAATATGTGTTGCGCAATATTTTAGTTCCAACGCTTACTTCATAAGTGTTTTCACGGGAAGTGGAATTTCTCCCTAATATAAGTCGAATTGGACAAAACAAATCTCAAATTCGTTTTCTATGCCACTTTTTCATAGTATATGAAAAACATGTATTTTTGGGTTTACATGCCCTTTAATATATTACATTGTTTAGCCATTTCAAACCACGGACCTCATAGCTTAAAAGGTCCGTAGGGAGAGTACGTAAAACAACGTAATTTTTTACAGCAAACCAAATCACTACGTATAACTGACAGAGTAGCTCATGTTTACAACCAAATACGATCAAATTAAAGCGTGCAAGAAATGCAAACTGCGGACAATGAGATCTATCCTTGAACTAAACTTTCTTTCCTTTTTTTCAGGAACAACCTGGGTGCAAGAAATTGTCTGGCAAATATTCAATGATGGAAAAATCAGCGAAGAAAGTGTACAAAGTCGTTATCTCAATTTGGAAAAAAGTCAGCTCTTCGATAGGCCTGGAGACGAGTCAGACCGGCAGAAGGTGTCCGTGACTTCTCGGCCCAGTCCCCGCTTAATTAAGTCGCATCTTCCTTATCATGTGATTCCAATGAGTAAAGAGGAGGTCAAAAGAAGCAAGTATATTTACGTGGCAAGAAATCCAAAGGACGTTGCTGTTTCATATTATCACTTCGTCCTTAGCTTTGGCCCTGGTAGTTACTTTAATGGGACATGGGAGTTCTTTGCAAAGTTGTTTCTTGAGGGCAAAAGTAAGGATTTTTATTTGTTGAAAATGGTTTTCGCTGTAAGCTAAGCGGAAGTTTGACAGCATTGCAAGCTGGCCTCCTACCGTCTGCAAGTTCGCCACCTGAGGAAAAACAAGTTCGCTCCCACCTTTACCAGTCAGGTCGCCCCCAAATCTTTGAACGGTATCGTGATTTCGACAGCAAAAGAATACGTTCTGCCTCAGGGGGGGAGGGGGAGGAGTGGTGGGCGGCGGGTAAGTTTCTAAAGAAACTGTGGGACTGTCCCAGTGGGGAAGTATAACAAAAGAATTGATCTGTTTTTATCAACTGAGTTGATAATGTTACCCTGTGAAGAGTTTCAAATCTCACGTTTCGGGCGTTAGCCCTTCGTCAGAGCGAATGATAAATGGCGAGTGATTTGCTCTGACGAAACGTCTGCTTTGAAACTCTTTACGGTAACCAATTTGCGTCATCAACTCGGTTGATGAAACCAAAATTATCTTGAAAGGTTTAGGGGCGAGCTGAGGAAGGTGGGTGCGAACTTGTTTCACTTCTCGGGGCAAACTCGCAAAGGAGGTAGGAGAGCGAACTTCCAATGGGGCGAAACCTCCATAAACCGTTAGATATCTGTGATCAAATGAAATGATTGTAAATTTGAATAATTTCCTGCAGATTCATATGGCTTTTGGCCTGATCATGTGCTACCCTGGTGGAAACACAGAGACGAACCTCACGTCTTATTTCTCAAATATGAAGATTTAAAGAAGGTGAACTATTTTCATGTTTTACTCATCAGTGTTTTAGTAGAACTACAAGTACACAAGATATATTTAATAGTCCGACGATTGTAAGGCGAATCCGAGTCTGTTATCAGGAAGGGAGCGGAGATTGTGCAACCATAAAACCCCTCTAAATAAATAGCGAGTAGTTGCACAAGTCTAAACTTTTAATGATTTCCATAAAAATCCATTTACGTTTCAGGATCTTTGTGGTAACGTTCGACTAATCAGCGAATTTCTCGAGAAGCCACTTTCAGATGAAATGATCCGTAAAATCGCCCACCAGTGTACGTTTGCGGAAATGAAGAAAAACTCCAACTCTTATGTCTTATCGGCATTTACTGCAAAACCAAACTTCCTTCGCAAGGGTCAGATTGGAGACTGGAAAAACATCTTCAGTGAAGAATTAAACAAGCAGTTTGAAGAAACGTTCTTGACGAAATTGGACGGGACTGGACTGCATTTTGACACAGAATAACGAACGTCGATTGGTTTTCAACTCGAACATCAATTCCTTGTAAAATGCATTTTAGTTACATAGTGCTTTTATTTGTTATTATTCAGGCTATTGCGTAGCTAAGGGAAGCAATCTCTTTTCTGTGAAGTTTAAGAGAGGCACGGATAGAGTGATAGGGGTGTGGTAGAGTGACCCAGAGTTTAAGCTCCACCCCTCCTCAATCAACATAAGAAGCATACGAGGAGCGAGAGAAAGCGAAAACGTCAATCACGTTGCCAGATCCTACCGATTAACTGTAACTGAAAAGTCGGACCTTACAACCGCTTGGCCGTGGAGGGTCTGGATACGAGATTACAAAAATGTAGGAGGTGGGGGAGGGGGTGGGGGAGAAAGAAGGAAAATCTCCACCCTACCCATACCTTTAAGCTTATGACAAGAAATCTTTCGCTGTGGACGTCAAACAACAGTACATTTTTCGACCACCAATAGTGCTCCTCTTATGGCAGCTTCTGCAGGATCTTGGTGATCTTGTTTTACAAATAGAACGAGAAGAACTATAACTCCGCTGAGAGCTACCAAGGCTCCTGACATGTAAAACGCTGGAGGGTACCCTCCGAAACTGTCCGCGACAAGCCCTGCGAGAGAAAAATCCGAGAATAATTCAAAATTTGATCGGGCTTTATCTCGAGAAGCACTAAATTCTCTTTACTATATAACAAAGAAATACATGGAAGCCAATAGGAAGGATAACTAATCAGTTCTCAGAGGAGTTAAGGTTAAGGTTAAGGCGATATTCAATGCATACCTCCGAGAGCTGGACCAAATGCAGATACGATATTTGTAATACTCTGGTAGAAACCAAACCCACGATTACGCTGAGTTCCTTTAAAACAAAACATGCATGCAACACACATGGCGCTGAACATGGCTCCGTCCGTACATCCATACAACAGGAAATAAAGCATAAAATAAATATATCGTTTAGCGAGCGGCAGAAGTAAGGTAGCAATTCCCTCCGCAACCGCAGCGATCTGGAAAAGAGAGTGCGCTTGAATCTTTTCGAAGTCACACAGACGGCCGATCACAGGACGCACTAGCAATGACGTAACTCCGCTGTAGATGTAGAGTTTAGAGGATTGATTTGTAGATATCCCAAGTGTCTCGCAATACCGAACCTGTAAAATAAATAACTTGTTGTAGAACGACGTTTACTCGCCAAAAAATTCAATACTGGTTTCCATTATCGGCGAAGTCATAGTTGGGATTCCACGGTGACGGAATCTGAGGGTAATTCAGCCGACGAAATATTACTGGTACAGAGTACCGGTGTAGACTAAAAATAAAATCAACCTGGTCCCCCTGAGGCTATTCTTATGACTCTCTCCCGCTTCATTGGCAATTGATTGGCAGTCCATTTTCTCCAGCCCCCCTCTATTAGCGACGACTGATGCCCTCGCCGTTCACCCTAAAAACCACACCATCCCAAATCCTCCAATCTCCCCTCCCCCCTCCTTACCTCCCGCAACAAATTTTTACCTAAGAAGACACTTTTGATTATTCAGCAAGACTTTGTTGTAGTGGTAATGCTACAAAGCTTGACTTACCATATGGAAGGATGGAATGTAATGCCCGGCGTACGACAAACATGTAGCAACAGTGAAAATAACAAAACGTCTATTTCTAATGAACCACAAGTAAGAGAGCTTTTCTCTATAATCCTCCCCCGGAGCGTCGCGTTGATCTGTCTTATCATCAGGTATCCTGATAAAGACACAACTAAGGGGCCCTATTAAGGCCACAATCCCAGCCATGGCCATAAATGTCCCGCGCCAGTCAAGTGTGTCTACAAAAGCCTGCATTATTGGGTTCATCACGAACAAGCCTCCTCCTGGCCCCATGGCAACAAGCCCCAGTGCTAACGAGCGCCGTTTTATAAAGTACTTAGGCATCGTCAAGTACAAAGGAAGAAACACGAAACATGACCCAATTCCGAAAATGATACCATAGCTGACCATGATGAAATAGATGCCTGTACCCCGTGACGTCACCAGGAGGGCTGCAATACTGATTAGGGTCCCTGCAATGACAGTTTTAAGGGGCCCGACGCGGTTGTACACTTTAGCCACCAGCATACTGTACACACCTGTTCCAACCATGGCTAGTGATCCAACCAGTGCTATGAAAAAAGGAGAAGAGTTGAAGAAGAACTATATACCAAAAACCACAACATTTTCATCTCCGCCGATTAAGAATTGATATTCAAGTTCACTACTGATCGCGATTAGAGAATCTAAGTATTGTAACCGTTCAAAATCTGTCTTCAAATGTGCTTGATATTCATCTAAGGGCGCCACCATTTTGAAAACAACTCAGTAACCTCGCCACCTTCATAACATCACCATCAGCTAGCGCTCTGTTTATCGCGAAAAATCAAATCATTGGCGGGGTCAAGGATACCTTTTACCGCACACTTTTAAGCGCAAGTTAAGACAATTCTGTAAAAGGCCTGGTTACTCTTTGGGACCTCAAGATGCTAATTCTTTGCTAACCTATCGATAAAACAGCAAAGAAAAAAACTTCTTCTCGTCTCCAGGGCCTTCCCAATTTCCTTGAAGGGAAAAGAACCCTGGAAATCTTCTGAGAACCCTTTGTGTCTTAAGGTCAAATGCAAGTCGAACAGCCCTGATAAAGAAAAGACCATATATATATATAGAGCGGATCTTTAGCTAGAAAAGTCTCAAACTTTGTTACAAAGGTGAAATGTTGGGTAACGGTGCCCCAGGGGTAAAATCCAAAATGTCCACTTTTGCTCAAAACAGTGCTTCAAAGTCAGAGAGGTGCTCCGAAGTTCTTAGAAGTAATGGAGAAAAGGGAACACAGATAAACACTTTTGGAAGTATACTTGAATCTTCACTAAGATGAAGAGAGACTTTTATTCGTCGTTTTCGGTGGACGGGAATAAAATGAAACAATAATTTTCAGGTCACTCAGGTAGTTATCTGATCCACGACGTATTTACAGCACTTTGACTAAAAAAGTTCCGCATACCTGTGGTCGCCTTTCCTTGTTTAAATTCGTCCAGCAGCGAGGGAAACAGAATTCCATAGCTGTACGTTAGACCACAGATGATAATGTTACACAAAGCACACACACCACAGACCAACCAAGACCAACAGGAGTCAGATTCGCATGTGCGTCTCACACACGAGGACGACTGGGAGCCATCCTGGACAACATTTACCACTGGTTCTGTCTCTTTCCTCGACATCTTTCTGAAATTTAAATTGGTTCCCTATGAAGTATCACTGGATGCCTGAAGACACTGAAATGTAGGATATCAAGCTTCTAAAGCTCTCAAAAAGCAAGAGTTTTTTCCTTCTTTTCGAAAAAAATCTATAACAGCAAAGATACACTAATCAACCGAAGACAAACATTTATCGAAGAACCAGACCGCTAACTTTTAGACCACGAGAAGTCCCTATCTTTTGGAGAAGGACGACGCGTGAGTAAAAAAATTATAAGCGAGAAAACATGATGTTAGTGGAACTCTAGGAGTGAGACACGATCATTGGCGACTCCTATGCCAGACAGCTTGACTTCTATGTTGCGCCTCACCCAGACTTGCGCGCGGTTGCGCTAACATCATTTTATCTTTTCTCCGCTGATTTTTTCCGACTCGCACGACGGACTTCGTCCAGCTCATTCGCTTTAAACGACTGCTTAAAACTTGCTTAAAAAAAAAAGCAATTCTGCAATGTAAGCAATTTCAGTCGCTCTTTTTTACTTCTACGTAAAAAGAAAGGCTAAAAACGTCTCCAGCTGCTTCATTTACAATAATGTTACCTGCACAAAAGTAGTCATTAACAGTTTCCGTTATTCTTTAGGATGTCACGCAACACTCCTCACCCAATTGACAAACCAAAGATTTGAACGAACGGTTGCGAAGAAGACAATAGGCTTCGTGCAGGGTACTGATCTGAACCGTGCGGTTTTTTTTCTCAGCCAAATCGCGAGCGAGTAATTTGAAATTTACCCACAGACAACCTATTGGGTAATTAATTCAAGAAAAGGAAAACGCTTACCCGAAGGTGTTTACGACTGCTAATTCTGGCCTCGATCACCGGAATATAGATAGGTATCAGTAAATTGTTACTGAAAATTAGCAGGCTGCCTGTGATGGAAAATATATGGCTCCTATTTGTGTCGTGTCATGGAAACTAAAATGAGAAGGAATATTTAGAAGACGCACCATCCTTGAAGGATTAGTTATCCCAATTTTCGGTCGAAGCGATCGAAATCTTGATAGACTGAAAACATCCTGAACATATGTCAATATCATTTTATTTCAAATGCGTAAATTTGGTGAGATCATCTTAGTAAAAGTTTCTTTACGTGGCGCAATATTTCGTAAAATATCATCTGTCGACTATTCTCGAAAAAATAACTCAGTTATATGATCACACTTCTGAATTTTTCGACAACTGCGTCTCGAAAAAAGCCGGTTTCTACTTTCTATCGAGGATTTTATTACGACACAGATTAAAACGGAAAACCATTTCGGTTGCAAACTGAATGTTTTAGTGGTAAACTGTATTTTAATTCCAATATTACACTGCTATAGACGATCGAAGTAAGGTAATATCCCGGCCCCTCTCATATGATGAGATTCGGGTGTCACGAAAGCTAAGACCTAAGACCTAAGACCTCTCGAAAACTAAGACCCCTCTAAAAACTTTTGGGCACGGGATATTTCAAAAGAAAGAAGAAGCCAAGGTGATCTTTACCACCTGGAGGAGCTATAACTTGGAGATCGTGAATTGTACTCGAGTTGTATACATGCAGGCTACAGAGCTGCAAAATTAAACGTTGAATTTAGATAAGTAAACTTTTCACTGCTAAGTTTACACTCTATTTAATTAAGAAAGAAAAAGTGAGCTTTCTGCTTCTCTTTCCTTATTGAATCAAATTCACCACGCATTAGTGTAGACAGGGCCTGAATTAAGGAATGCGTAATTAACAGTGACTTTGACAGCGCAGCAGAGAATGCTTTCGATGTGCCGAGTTTCGACCGAAAGGCCCTTTGAACGTATTCTGCTAGAATAAGTTGCCTGTTTTCAATTCAGTTACGGGAAACTTTAAACACAATTTTTAAGATCAGTTTTTCCGATCGCGGCTCTCGTGGGTGACTTCCGGTAGTATTCTTGAAAGGACAACAATTCATGACCAGTTCAGTTCATCTTCTTTCACGTGGTAGAGCTTTTGTAACATTCCATATAAAATATTATTTTATAGAGAATAAGAAAGATGGTAAGTTTATTATCATTATTTATCTTTCAAACCAAATGCTGCAAATTAGTGTGAAGCAGATTGATGGTAATGTCGTTTTGCGGCCTAGCGACTGCATTTCTTCCTGCAAACACTCAACTTTCATGAAATAAAACAAAGCTGTGCGTTCATCGAGATATGAAGCACTTGGGAAGTTTGGAGAGCACTCAAGAAGCTAGAGTTGCTCTCAGCTACGCCTCGAGCAACTCTTACGCATCTTTCGTGCTCTCCAAACTTCCAAAGTGGTTCATATCTCGATGAACGCACGCGAACGTATGAACCAGTTGTTAATTATGACGTGCATTAAATGTCGATCGTCGAGCTCTCCATGGTAAGAAAACTGATATACTTGATCTGTTTTGACATTCTTCAATCAAAGTGATACCGGAATGCTTTAGTTGGTGTGCCGGACGATAAAACCAACTCGGAAAAAAGGTTGCTTTGGCAAACACTATATGTTTGATTGAAAAATGTCAAAACAGATCAAGGATATCAGTTTTACTTACCATAGCGTCCGAGGCACACACAAAATCCAACTTCTCACGTACTCCTGCAATGTTCAAAGAGCCTTTGCAGTTAAACTCTCATTGAAAAGTAAGCGCGAGTCAGAGAAGAAAAGAGAGCTCGGCAATCGACATTTAATGCACGTCTTAACTCTACTTAATACTATAAACATTCAGGCTCACCAACGCGTGCAAACTGTGCTAAACCGGGAGGCCGGCAAACCGTGGTAGAATCCAGTCTCGTTGCTATTTTAATTAACGCTTTCATGAACGACAACGAATAAATGCAATATCGGTGAGAAAAAAAAAGGAGAAACTCACTGAATTGACTCTGCTTTACGGCAAGGTGAAGTAAGCCTCTTACCACATGTGATGGTTTCGCGACAGTTTTCATATTCATGCCCCCCTGCAGATCACTGTTCCATTTGCGGTCTGCATTTTTGGTGGCGTGACGTGAAGGCCATCTCGCCGAAACCAACAAGCAAACACAACGATTCGCCACAACATCGAAATATTTCGTGTAATGCTAAGGAATTTAATGTTCAGATAGAGCGTCTGATGTTCTGCAAAGCTATTCGACACAACGCTACACCATTTGTGTATACGCTGTACCATTCGACATTACGCTGAGCCATTTCACGCAACGCTATACTGTTTAAACGTACGCTGTACCATTCGACATTACGTTGAGCTATTTGAAGCAACGCTACACCTTTTGTGCGTACGCTGTGCTGCTCGACATTACCCTGGGCCATTTGACGCAACGCTACACCATTTGTGTACTGTAATGCAAATGAGCGCTAAGCTATTTGTAAATTGAGCTAGTCTATTTCACAATGTCATGTTCCAACTCGACATGGGCGATACTTAGCACGTGCCTTCGAGCAAAAAAAAACATGAAAAATACATTAAAATAATTATACATTTGGTTCGGCTCAGTTAAAGTACAGCATCAGAATCTAAGCCGGCCTACAGTAGTTCTTCCCGGCTGAGCCGATCTAAATGAAATCAACCGTGATTCAGATGCTGTACTTCACATGAACTTAACTCGTTGAATTTGATTCGGCTCGGCTGAAGTACGGCGTCTGAACTGGGGCCTAAATAGACTCTATGGAACTTAACCCAAAAGCTTATAAATAGACTCTCAACAGTTTTGGAACGTCTAAGTAAAAGTTCTTCCCAACATATTAGAATTTTTAAGATTACCGTACATTATCAAAGCCGTTTTTATACTAGTAATGGTTACTTTTCCACGAAAGAGATCGACGCAGAAAGCTTCTATGGATGTAAACTTAATAACTCAGTAACTTTATGACATATTCATAATGAGAGTATAGTTTTAAAAGCGAACTGAATTCACTCAATGCGTCGCCTCTCCTGTCCCCAATTTCAAAAATAATATTGACTGACCTTTGTTTAGAATGCCATGCATCCTATATATTGCGAATGCCGTGACAAGTTTACAATCGTCTGTTTCCTTGGGACCACAGAATTCCTACTTAGACTATTTCTTTTTTCCTTGTGGAAGTTTTTTTTTTTTCTCATATGTACGAGTTCCTGTACGTGATCACGCGAGCGATAAACAGAAATTCGTGTCACGCACCCGGTTCGAAAGCCCTTGGTCAGGTCACATGTACACTTGTTATTGATTTATCTAATCTTTCTTTTTCAATTTGTGCGTGGTGTGAAGCTTTATGGATGGAGTAGATTGAAGAGAATAGCGTATGTTGTTTTTTTGGGCGCCTACAAATGTGTGAAATTAATTTTTGTAGCGGTCTTAACAATAGGAATTTGGGGGGTCCATGGTAAGTTTGCAGGGACATTCACATGTGCTTGTCGCGTCTTTTAGCCTACGTATAGCCGTACCCTCCCCCGCCTCCGTTTTACCTTGGCGGGGGGAGGGAATGGCTACCCATAGGCTACGTTTTTTCGGAAAGGGTTGAAGGAAACTTATTCAGACAAATTGTCCCAACTTTCATGGAGAATATTTCATTTTGCATTGAAATCATTTTTCCTTAATTTTTGCAACTGGACTGAACTCGTATTTCGGCTTTTCGTTGACACAGGCTCCCTCGATCAATTATTTCGTCATTTATTCCCATTTTTTCAATAGATAATCCACTCTCACGAAAAGAGGAGCGACGGGAAACAAAACAATTTTTTTGGGATGGAGTTGCACTAAAAAAAAGAAAAAAAAAGTTGTCGATTCAGCTTTGCGTGGTATCCCTCTTGGACGCGGTGAGCTGAGACGAGACAAGTCTGGTGGTGCAATGTTATTAATACCTTTTTTTGTATTTACATGTCCTAATCTTATACTTGCTTTCCCTTGATAATGATCGTAGAGAGGTTTTCTATAACAAAAAAGAGGTAAGAATCAATGCGAATGTAAAAAAAAAAAACAAAACCTTTACCTTTACATTTTATGATCACATCGATCGATCGATCATTGTGCAGCGCGGTTCGATTTGAAAATCGACACTGATTAATTTAAGCCTGTTATTGTATGCTGTCTCATTTGAAATCGGAATGGTTACTGTCTTTAGGACAAGTTATTGATTTTGTGAGTTCAGTTGACTTCAATTTCTCTATTGTTTAAAAAAAACTGTGGTGCTTGTGGAGCTTGGACTGCCTCTGATAGAACGGAGTAATTTGATTTTATTAACTGAGTTGGCAGTGTAAATTGGTCACCGGTAGCCCTTTATTTCCTCTGACGAAGAGCTCACGATGAAACATCGGCCTCTAAAACTTTTTACGGTGGTCAATTCAAATAATAATTTCAACTCAGTTGAAAAGAGGACCGTTCATTGAAATCTCGATTTGGTTATCTTTCCTTGAGTAAACTTTCTCTGGGGTGTCACGCAACACTGCGTTTCACTCCAAAGAACTCATGGAACTACGTCACTGTTTGACATGTTTTTTTAGTGACATACACTACACCCATACAGATTTCTTGATTTACTGTTGGGGCTGTAATGCATATAAAGTATTTCATTTTCGACTGTCTCTTTTTTCATCATGTGCATGTTTTAAACTAGGGCTCTGTAATGTTGGTAAATAGATGTTACAATGAAAATGATAGCTTACTGTTATAGTAATGGACTAGTCCTGTACTAGTCGTCAAGTTTTCGGCTTTGAAAACTCAATTTAGCCTTCACTCTATCAGCAAGTCCCTAGCATGCAAAACAAAAAATAATTTTGAATTGGTCTCATGTTTTTTTACTTTGATTTTTTATTAGGGTTAGTTTTGTGTCTGAATATCTTTTAAAACCTCTGATGTTGCATAAGTAAGACTTAGTATCTAGGTGATTCGTGCTTGAGAAACAATTGTTTTGGCTGAAGCATTGTTTGCCTGATAAGTATTGAAGTATTTTCAAGGCTGAATGTCCTTTGACAAAAGTGACCCCTTAATGGCAGATAAGGTGATGCATGCAAATTATAAGGAAATACATCTCTCATGGACGAAAATAAAAAAATTGCAATTTCAGGGAAAGAGAAATGCATGTCTTGCACTGCTACTAACAAGGGTGTGCTCATAGGCTATGACAGAACTTCCCCATCAACAGCTCGTTTGGCATACCTCTACACCCACCAAGTCATTTTTTTTTTAACCAGTTGCAGATAAATAATTGACCAGAGGAATCACAACATGTCGGTGGATTCAGCTTCAGATCATCACAGGAGATGCTTTTCAGGAAAGCCTGAGCAAGACTCCTGTTGGTCTTGGGTTGTGTGCTTGGCATGTGCTGCTTCCAATAGTTTGGTCAGTGGAATTGTTAATAGCTATGGTATCATGTTTCCATTTTTGTTAGAAGAATTTCAACAAGGGAAGGCTTTGACAGGTTAGTCATTTCCTCAGCACTGTATCAAGCAGTCATCCTGTATTAAACCTTTAGCTCCCATGAGTGACCAAGACAGAATTTCTCCTTACAATATAAATACAATATCAACCAGATAAGTAATAAGAATAAAGAATAATATCAATTTGGGGATAATTAGTCGATCCAATACTAAAATCTCTGAACTAACATAATAAGAATTGTATGGTTGACAGAGAGGAGAATTACAAATTTGATCTGGGAGTTAAAGGGTTAAGCACTCAGTTGTCTGGAAGTTCTGAGATTTTTTTCCCCTTATGTACTGTTATTTTTTTACCTCTATTAACTCCCAGATCAAATCTCTCATTCTCCTTACTGTCAACAATACAATTCTTATAATGTTAGGTCAGAGAATTTGGTATAGGATCAACTAATTAACCCTGAAATTGCTATTTTTCTTTATTCTCATTACTTATCTGGTTGATATTGTATTGATATTGTAAGGAGAAATTCTGTCTTGGTCACTAATGGGAGTTAAAATGTTAACCCTTTGCATTCTAACATCAGTATGCATATCCTCCATTTTACTGTTCTCTAAACATTTCCGACATGGAGAATTTGTCTAACAATCAAGAGCTTCTTATGTTGGTGATCATTTCCTTTATTCTCCTGACCTTAATATTTAATTCAGGGGTGATATGGTAAGGAAAAATTAGATGCCAGTCACTCTTAAAATAAAAATACAAATACAAGTACAGGTAAGGATAGAAAGAAATTAAATTTATCTTTCCCACTGAAAATGTTTGTTTATATATTTTTTCCTCAGCTCTTGCTGGGTCAATAGCAATGGTTGGCAATGGACTTTTTAGCCCAATAGTAGCAAAAGTGTACCATCGAGTTGGACCACTCAAGACAACTATAATTGGGCTCTTTATCTGCTGTGTGGCCCTTCTATTAACGTCTCAGGGACCCAACATGCACCTCATTTTAGTTACTTATGGTGTCCTTTTCGGTTTTGGTTCATGTTTTGTATTTTTCACCCCATATCTTGTAATACCTCTCTGTTTTGTCAAAAGACGGGCTCTTGCATTGGGACTTCTGGCCACTGGTCCTGGTGGAGGTTTGTTTATAATGAGCCCCATTCTGGAAGCCCTTCTTGTTGGGTACCACTGGAGGAAAACATACGTGATCCTCGCTGGCATAATGGCTTTGGCTTTACCCTTTCTTTGTACTCTTGGGCACATTCCTGAACAAGATGATGAGCAAGTGCTTGATCAAGTTGATCAAAAAGAAACACGTTGTAAAAGGCTGTTTTCAACTCTCAAGAATAAGCGATATGTCATCATTATGGTGTCCATGTTCGCATATTTTGCAGCGCATTACATTCCTCTCATTCATATAGTGAGTCCAGTCTAGTTTAATTATTTTCAGTAGTGTCTGGTTCTTTTAGGGAGCAGCTACGCACCTCTGTCCCCAAATAGGTCTTTCAGAAATTATGAAGGGAATAGGGGTTTTGAAAGACATAAATTTTATAAGGACTCATGAGGTAAAACTGAGATTTTCTTCGGATATGTTAGGGGGGGGGGGGTTGGGTTTGATATGCGTCCCAAATACATTGTGTGGGAGGTAAGGTAATGACAGCATGTAGGAGTGATTCGCGTCGGTACACGTCACTTTATCCTGATGTCTGTAGGCACAGGAGACCCAAGTATTACGGTTACATCTGTTTCATCACTGCCCTGGGGATGATGTTTATGAAATAAATCACCACTTTGACCTGCAGGTGAAATTCAAGAGAATAATCGATCCTTGCATGAGATCTGCGATATGAGTAATTGCTGAAAGAAGCCCGAAAGATTCAGGCTTCGACGGGACTCGAACCCATGCCTCCCAGTTGCGCTCAAATGGTATCTGCTAATAGTGGGAGGCGCGGTGGCCTCATGGTTAGTGCGCTCGACTTCGGATCGGGTGGTCCGGGTTCGAGCCCTGGCCGGGGTCATTGTGTTGTGTTCTTAGGCAAGACACTTTACTCTCACAGTGCTTCTCTTCACCCAGGTGTACAAATGGGTACCTGCAAATGTGCTGGGGGTAGTAGAGTAGCAATACTCCTAGCCGCTTCATGCTAAGAAAACCGGAGTTAAGCACCGGCCCCATGGGCCACCTGGGCCCGTATAAAGGCTTTACTTTTACTTACTACTTTTGATGCTACTGCGTAAATTAAACCTCACTTGAGAGGATTATTTCCTCATTTTGAACATTTCTTCTATTAAATGTTATTAAACAGCAGGGTGTATGCTGGAAAAACTGTCGCATTAAGAAACCAATAGGAGGAAATGTGTGGGATTTAACGAAAGAAAATAGCTTATCCCGTTTCAGTCGCGTTTTTCTGCGCGCTGACTTTCTGTGATGCGTTTTTCTTGTAAATTATTACTTAGTAATAACATGATTTCGTTTGCAATTTTGTGTAAATAAGCTATTATGATTTTTTCAAAGACTACAAATTGCTCTACGGGCTCTTGCAATTTTGTTGTCTTTTAAATATTTATTCTCGCTTAGTAACACCAAATTGCACTCGAAATCGTGTTGTTACCTATACTTATGAAAGAAAAGTTAGGGTTTACACAAAATGTGTTTTGTTCCCTTTTACAGGCCCGCTACTGTGAGGAAGTTGGTATGCCAGTGACAAAGGCCTCTCGCCTTTATCTATACAGTGGGCTGGCGTCATTACTTATCCGGCCGGTGATTGGTCGGCTGTGTGACATTAAGGGGATTGATGCCTGTTTCATTTATCAGTTGGCAGGCGCCATTAATGGAGTCGCGACGTTATTGTTACCGCTGGCCACGAAATATTTTCATTTCGTTGTATACTCAGTAGTTTGGGGATTTGCTGATGGAGCTATAGGCTGCGCCGTGTGTGTTGCCATCATCGGCTGTTTTTCAGACAAACAAGGAGCTACTGCATTGGGGATTAGTTTTTCAGTCATTTGTGTTATAGCAGCCGTCGGCCCTGCGCTTGGAGGTATGTTCAGAAGAAAATAATTGAAAGCAGCTGAATAAGAAAATTTTCCTAGAGCCCATAAAGCAAACTGGTATATAATTGTTTTTGCTTTATGTCAACCTATGAATTCCCTCCAAAAACTTGTGCCACGTCCTCGACCATTCAGATGCAATCTAAACCAGTCATATGCGAAGTTAAATTCAAGTGATCGCATTTCGCGCGTTTTCCAACCTGTGTGGTTTCCTCGGCTTCGGAACGCCTTTTTAACCCTTTAACTCCCAAAATCTCATTAGTAATTCTCCTTACTATCTCCCATACAGTTCTTGTCATGTTAGTTTGGAGAATTTGGTATTGGATCAACTTATAATCCCCTAACTTAAACTTTTCTTTATTCTCATCACTTGTCTGCTTGATATTGTATTGATACTGTAAGGAGAAATTCTGTCTTGGTCACGCATGGGAGTAAAAAGGTGAAGTGATTCGCAAACAATTGTTACTTACTTGACAAGTTAATTTGTTTTCGATTAAGTGTCATGAAACTGAAAGCAAATTTATCACAACAGCAAATCGGAAGAAAGGAAAATACTTGAACTCAAAGTAAAAGCAACCAAAATTTCGAGAAAACGCGAGTGGCCAAGTCGTGATTAGTTTTAGTTTTGCATCTGATTGGTTGAGAGAGTGGTGCCAGTTTTCTGGACCAATCACAGAGCGAAGCAAACTCTTCGCAAGATTCAGAAGACAAACTTTATCCAGGGGTATGGATGAAGTAATATTTCAATAATGAATTGATAAATCATGAATGGATTCTTTGAGGTACACTTAACCTTTCTTTAACATTGTTTTCATCCTTATTTTTCTTCCCTTGTATTTAGGTCTGATGGCAGATGAGTTGGGGTCATATGTTCCAGTATTTTACATGACGGGAGTTATACTTCTTGTAGGTTCCGCTGTCATTTTCCTACTCCCTTTTTTCAAGCCAGAAAACGCAAGACATGCGACAAAATCAGACGAGAGACTCCTCGTAGTGGAAAAATGTACAGTAGTTTGATGGCATGAATTCTAGAAATAATAACTTTTTCTATTGGGTAGTTTTTCTTTTCCCAATTAACCCCTCTCTGCTTTCCATAAAACGCAACCCTCCTTGATTATTATAGTTCCTTTGGGGAATCATAAATCTGTTGCGCTATTGGAATTGTCCTAGTCCTCTAAATTGAATTTTTCGGATTTTCAGCACAGCGGTGGTTTTCTCGAGCCATTCGCACCATTTAGTATAACGAACTCAACAGCACTATTAACATAAGTCTCATAAACGAGAAGTAATCCCTCCCTCACACTGCGTACATCTCTTTCGTCATGATAGAGGTTTACTTCTCGGTCTTCTCGCTTATGCATCGTAGTCTCGTTTTTAAGCCTCTTTTCACGGTTGAGACTAGGCTCCTCCCCTCGGGAAAACAGCGGTAATCGAGCTCAGTTTTAGCACTCCCGCAAACGCGTCTCGTCAGCGTATTTCTTGAAATTGTATCAGTCTTTCACTTTTCAAAAACGAGGGAAATATTAAGTCTAGCAAACCTTGATGAAATCAAACCTATTGCAGGAAATCTAGTTTTAAGTATGCAAATTTACATCGACTAAGCCTAAATCCACCGCCTAAATTGTAGCCAGCGAATAGAGTATAAAGAACAAATTAAACGACGTTTACGGGCAGCACTAAGTCGAAGGCGATGCATGGGAAAGCCAAAACTGAGCTCACTAGTTCAGTAATTTTGTTTGTTGCTCCGGCGGTATGGAAATTAAACTTAGACAAAAAATTTTTTAAAGAATAATAATACATAGATACTGGGTTCTTACTACAATGGATAACTTAGGTCAGTATTATCATGCTGGTCTTTTGTTCTGCACAAAAAGGAAAAAAAATGATGAACGCAAAGGAGTGATTAACCAAAGAAAACGGTCAGTGGTGAAACTTAAAGAAAATTCAAATGATGCAAAATGGGAGTTAAATTGAAAAAGATAACGATAAAAAATGATAACGCCAAACAGAAGGGGAAAAATAAGGAACAAAAATTGTACTGATACCCGGGATTGTTCATGGCTGAACAGCATTAAACCAGAGACCCTCAGATCTTCAGTTTGACGCTCTCCCAAGTGAGCTATCTCGGCTGGCGATTAATATATGGGAAACAAATAAAAAATGAATTACTTTCAATTCTAACACTTCTGAGTGCACTCAACCCAAAAGTTGAATGCACAAGGTAAATTTGCAACCATGCATGAGAAGATGATAAAAGAAAGAATGTTTTTATTACAATGTAAAATACAATTAAGAGTTTAAGTAAGGCCAATAAATTGTATGATCACTGGATCTTAAGTGCTATTATTTAAAAGGATTCGTTGTGATTAATCTGTATGCCAATTGAGGACATCTACGCAGCGTTAACTTTGGAGAACGGTTCTTCTTTGGTATTTAATTTCGAACTCATGTAGAGAGAAACAGCAAGAAATCCCACAAAATGTGAAAAAAGGAAATTTGAACGAGGAAGGTAATTATCGCAAAACAGAAGGAAACAAAATTCATGCCGAGACTCGGGATTGTTCAGAGCATAACAACATTGAACCAGGGACATTTATTAAGCTATCTCGCCGCGTAAGAAACAAATGTCGGCAACAAAAAGAAAATGAATTTGCCGTCAATTCTGATTATGCTCAAACCAAAATTGTCTACATACAAAGTAAATTCGTAACCGATCAATATTGCGATGCTTAAGCTGGACTTTCTCCATTCAAACTGATCTTTTGAAGTTTTGAAATTTTTGGTTAAGAGTGTTATAATCTTCGTTATTATTTTATTATCGTCGTTGTTATTATCATCGTGAACTTTGTCATCATTGCCATCATCAACATAATCAACAGTGTTACTATTATTATTGGTGCTATCGTTATTAGTATCATTTTTATTATTACAGACAACGAATCTGTTCGTTTTCATTTGAAAACAAGTCGGTTGTTTCTAAGCATTTTGTCCTTTTCCTTTTTTAATTCAAGATTTACGAAGAAAAAGGATGATGATTACAATTTGCATATATATATATATATATATAATTATATCTATATCGTATAAAAAAGACCTTTTTTATATAGATTCGGATTAATACTATTTTTATTATCATTAATTTCGGGAAAAGCTGAACACCAATATAAAAAAACGCAATAGTTACAAAATTATAGATACAAACAATTCTCTTCATTGAGGAAGCAAAACCAAACCAAAACAAGACAAAAACAAATATGCGTTGGACATTCGCCATTGTTTTGCATAAACTTACTTAAGAAAAATGGTAAAGAAAAAACATTTTTGATATAATTTAAAATGCAATCGAGGGCCCGGTAAGGCCAAGAAAGTTCTTTGAGCATTGGATCTTAAGTAGAACTATTATTTTAGGTGTTATTTCTAAGTTTTCCCTTTCACAGTGGTTAGTCTGTATGGAAACCGAGAACATCTGTTCAACTTTTAAAAAATAGTTCTTCTTTGGTATGTAAATGTAGAAATAAAGAAATTTGATTGAGAAAGGTAAATGGCGCAAAAAAAAAAGAAAGAGGAATAAAAGTGCTGTCAGGACCTGGGATTGTTCAAAGCAGAACGAAGCTGAACCAGGGACATTCAGATCTTCATTCTGACGCTTCTCCCAACTAAGCTATCTCGACAAGGAATAATAACAATTTGGAAAACTATTATATTTCTAGTATCAATTCCGAGTATACCCACATCAGACATTAAATTGAGGGTTGTTATTTCGTGATCTGTAGCCATTTCACGAGTTTTGATGAATTTCCTTAGTTTTTTTTTTTTTTTAAATTGTATCGTATTTTTCAATCAAAATCATTATCATTATTATTATCATCTCCACCGTCGTCACCATCATCATCATCCTCATCATTATTATATCAATTATTTTTATCATTATCAATCAAGAGATCATGAAAGACTGCGGTTCGTAATCTCTTGCCTCCACTAGCTAAGCAAACTCGTTCCTAGGACTTTTTTCCTTGAAAATTGGGAAAAGGCGGGGAAGTGATAACGAAGCAGGCTTAAGCCTGCAAGGCGGAAGCGAGGATCAGAAAGAGAAATAGCCGTCATGGGGAGGTTGGGGAGTAATACGGAACTCTTGTTTTTTGAAGTTTATTGGTTTTTTAAACGTTAGCCTGCGGGGCTAGCCAAGTTGTAGAAGTTCAACGTGTGGTAATTTTTTCCTTGATATTTTTCCTAACCTTTGTTTAGACATATCAATACCAACAGGCTTTATTTAAAAAATGCAAAGCTCATTTTCGCGGAAGGATCGTGCATGGATACGTTCATTTGGATTCAAGCCCCCCTGGATATATATAAAAAAAATTTCTAGCCTCCTTAATGTGTATTTCTTCGAGCATTTCATCTGAAACTCAGCAACCGATCTTCATTTAGAAAGCGACATTATCTGTTCCGTGATGCGAACACCTTTCTGAGAGCAAAGCTCGAGGAAACCTGTGAGCTTCGAGGAACAGATATGTCCAAGGATAAATATACGAGCATATATTAGCGCCAAACGGAGGTTATTGTGTTTATGATCCTTGAAATATTTTCGCAAAGTGCGGGAAAAATGAACGACTTGCTGTTTCCAGCGTGGGATGTTCGAGTTTTCTGTATTCTCTGGTACAACATTAAGAAGAAACAGACATGCCCCTTCATCTGTAACAATAGAGTAACGCTCTTTCATCTTAAATTCTATTTCAAACGAACGCTTATCGTATTTGATGGAGGGTTTGAAAATTGGGGATTGTCAGTTGGGTGTATCCTCGGATATTCCCTAGTTTCAACGAAAGCATATTCGATCACGAGAAGCATTTAGACTGAATGCGAGCAAATAAACATTCGTTGAATCGTACGTGGTGTGAAACAAACATGAAAGCGTAAGAACATAACGGTCACCACGTTACGCTTTCCCTTACACAAGGAGCTCCGCTGCACGCGCGGCGTATTTTGTTCAGAAGTTAAATAGTGCACCTCACATTTTTGACCACTTCTTACACCAGATGAGGATACATCTGTGAGGATTTTAACGCGCTATGTATAACTAATAACATTATTTCGTGTGCAATTTGGCGCTAGTGAGCACGAGTAAATTTCCAAAGAACACACATCGCTCGAGCCCGTATGGCAAGTGAAATGTGTAGTCCATGGAAAATTTGTGCTTAATACACCAAATTAATCTAGAAATGGTTATTACTTGTTAATGATGCACACGGAAAACCATCAGACTCAAGACGGACGAAATTCTTAAAGCGTGCGCGCGCCATTTGTAATTTGCACTCATGTTAAAACTTCGCACTCGTTTTCAGTCATTCAGAAGGTGGTGATCTTGTCATGTACATTATCATATATACTGTCGTGGGGCTTGGATAATAAAAACCATAGTTTAATTTCATCACAAACTTAATCTTCAACGGACGGTGTACTTCCTCAGCTTGTGCAGACCAACTCGCGTCTTTGCTTGTCACTCCTAGAAACAGTAACCATTAACTAGCCAATGAGAATGAGGGAATTTCTCCAGCTATGTTCACCAGAATACGCCAAAATGCGACACCCATTTTTCTGGTTATCGTTATATTAAAATATGACCTTAGAAAAGAGAACTCCATGTTACGAAACGGCGTTAGCCATACACATCTTTATTAACTCTTGGTTCCCATCTAAAATAACAGTTTTTAAGATACACAGGGGGCTATGATACAAAGTGATGTATGTAAGAATGTAAAACAACTTTCTGCAGGCTTTATACCACAATCGAACGGTCGCATTGGATCGTAAAACCTAACATTAACACAGCTGATTCGAGAATTACGGGAACAACAAATCCTGACCACTCGCTGACTAAACTGACCGAAAAATCACCAATTTAAATACAATTTGTTTAACTAGCACTTTTCTTTACATCGTCTTTCACACAAATCCAAGACCAGCAACTTAAATTGTCTGTGAATAGTGAACGAACGCAAAAGCGTTCGCCTAGATCAGAAAGAGCTTGGCTCTAGACAAAACTTAACTTGAGATTTACAATAAACCAGTCTCTAAATACATTATTTGACATAGCTGCTTTCATTTAACTACAACAGTGTTCTAGTCAGCCGGGCAATCTAGGAGCTAAGACCAAATTCAGTGGTGGTAGAAACCAGCCGTCTGTGATGGCGCGGCTTGGTACGGAGGTTGAAAACGGACGTGTGCTGGAGCTGAAGGGCTGGTCACGAGGTACTGAGGCGAACTGCTTGGTAGCCGCGTCGGTGGCTGCGACGGAGACGTAAGCTGGGGCGCGGCTGTTGCCAAATACATAGGTTGCTGCGAGTGACTTATTCTATAATTCTAAAATAAATCAATAAAAACCACACAAATAAATAAATACGCGTTAATTAATTCAAGTTTCCGTGTTTAAGCATCTATTCAATTAGTATTAGCGTAAGTTTTACCACCAAATCTAACAGATGACGTAAAGCGCGAACACAACTTTCGACGCAGGCCCCAGTTGTACAAACAGCGGAACAGGTAAACAGAATAAGATGGTAACTCACCGGTTGAGCAAACTGTGAAAGAAGCGAAGGACGATGGGGTATATGCTGCGAGTGAGAGTGAGAGTGAGAGGAAGGAACTGCCATCAGATTGTTCTCGTAAATATTGGAGTTTGAATTGCTATCCTCGTCCTCGATTTCCATAGCGTCACCTGTGTTAGAAATAAAAGAAGCACGTTCATTATCAAAATTCTTCGTTTCACAAGCTATTTATAATCCAACTGCTTCATTTATACGAAAATGTCGTCCATTTTTTCGTTTGAAACAACACACGCGAGCGTGGTTAACCTGTCAAACAGGTCTTTCCAACAAGACAAAAAATAAACCACATGTCCAAATAACCGATCAATACTGCGGGATATTTTTACTCCATTCCGCGCGATATTTTTACTCTACCAAGTGCAGTTGGATAATAACTACAAATATTTCTTGTGCGGCATCGTACCCGTTAGTTCCGTTGCTGGATTTGAAGACTCGCTGCTGGTGCTGGTACTAGGTGATCTACCAACCACTGTGGGCGGTTTGGATGATTTATGAGTCGAACCTGTGGGTAAAAAAAGTAAGGGCATCAAGCTTTGTGCTTCATTTACTTCGTGAAGTGACCACGATAAAAGAACGACAGGTTAGAAATATTTTTTCTTCAGAATTGCACAGCACCTTCAAACTAGAGAGTTTACACAATTCATAACTTGACCAAGATACCTTTTTGCAGTTGCTCCGCGATAAACGAAGTCAGCTTCTCTTGCGCGTGTTTCGTTTGAATATCTGTAAGCAAATAACCAGCAAATGTTTAATAAAACAGAACCAAACTGCATCCGAAATATATGGCTGTGTTGCCTTAAAATAATCACAGGTTACTGACCTCTCTTGAGGCGTGAATCTACTTCGCCAAACATCGAACTTCTTGAAGAAGTGGTGCTCACTCTTCCATAAGCGCTGTTAGAAATTTTCGCCACTCGCTGGACCGAACCTACAAAAGATCGATCTATTAAAAAACGTTTCTTAATAAAAGGAACCGATACCGCTTTGGCAATAACAACGAACATCTAGCAGTGTATCGATACGGCTACTGCAACGGTACACCACCTCTGACTGGTAAGAGATGGGAAATAATTACAAAGGATTCCGCATAGTTCCTTTTAAGTCTTTTTCAACTGATTTCACCACAAGGATAAATATTTACTGCTCCTCCTTACACCCCTGCCACTCTAATCCTACTTTACCTTGTTATACGTTACTATGGGAGTCGCAACTCCAGGGATTTTACAGCGATGGAAAAAAAAAGCGCTTTCTCGTCAATGCAGTCGTCCCTACCTGTAGACTTTTCTTCCATGTCTGGGCTAACTGGCTCCACATGAGGCCCGTTCATTTCACCACTACTAGAAATCGGTCGATGGACAAAGGACGGCGTCGTTGATGGTGAGCTGAGATTCGGAAGTGATGGCGATTTCATGACTAATTGCGATAAGCTTGACGAAGATGACCCATTAGTTACACTAGTCACTCCAGCAGACTGCGATGTTAATGTTCTCGGCGTGTCCACTGACAGTCTGTTCCGCGATCGATTGCGATATTCTAACAATGAAACCTGCCAAAGAACAAAAACCAACAAATACGAGTGTAATTACACACAGATACAAAACTGAGTTTTTGTTGGTGAATCTTGAAATTTCTTGGCAATCTCCGGGCCACGATAATTAGAGTTAAAGCCATTTTCGATACAAGTGTCAAGCGCAAACTGGTATTGCATTGGTTTTAATCTACTTTGCAAAGTGATTCGTCCAAAGATTTCTCCCCACTTTCTCAAACAATCAAGGCCTAGTTGCTCAAAATACGGATAACGCTATCCAACGGATAAGGGTTGACAAAACATGCTGCACTATACACTGGATAGATATTTATCCTCCTTACAGCGTTATCGTCTTTTTTAACAACCTAGACCAGATTAAAAACTAAATGTTATAGCCACTTGCTTTTTCCCGCGCTTCAACCAATTTGCTACATCATTGGCTGCTCGCGATTTCTTCCTTTCTTCCGATTGGCTGTTAGGATTTTTTGGTTGACGTCACTCAACCAAAAAACACTCTGATTGGTTACTGGTTGAACTTCTTTTACCTTTTTCTTTCCTGGCGTTCCTGATGTATCGTTACCCTGTGAAAGCTGCAGTACAGGTTGCCCAGGAATCGTTGCTGCAACAGACACGGGTGAAACAGCGCAGGTCACCACAGGCGGAGGATATCCCAGTGAAATGACAGGAGCTATACTAGAAACCGGTGAATTATTTACAAGTCGAGGATCGCTCGGTCTTCTCTGCAAAATACCAGACTCGCCCGTTGCCACCGTAAGTGCATTGTTCTCTGAAAGAGCTGTCGAATTCGCAGTTTCCAGAATGTTTGACGCATTTGAAACGTTCACTTTTAAAAGAAGTTCTTCTCTAAGAGGAATTTGTTCATTTGTAGCCGATAGAGCCTCTCCTTTGTGTGGTTGTAAATCGTTCACACTATCTGCTAATACAATCTGCACTTGCTGTTCTAACGCAACGGGCGAGCTAACAATAAGAGGCTCGCCACACGCTGGCTCTGTTGGTACAGTTCTCCCTAAATTTGCAGTTTGCTCGGATGCGGACGACATCTCCCGGTATCTTTTTAAGTGCCTTTTCTTCAGCGGTAAAGTATCTTGAAAAAGGGAAAAAGCTGGTGGTTATAATTACACACAACCTATTCCTCTTTATTTGGCTACTAAACTTGATAAACAACATCTCTGAGGCATATTTTTGGGCAGCCAACGAGAAATTTATTCTCTAAATGCGCGACGCAACCTTAGACAGAGAATCAGAGCGAGAGAAAACCAAATGAGTTGCCAGACTTTTGTAGAATGGATAAAAAAAAAGAGCTTACTTGGGCCAGGGTGCGGGCACATCTTTGCAAACAGAGTTAAAAAATATTTTCCACAGTAGAAGTTTGGAGTAAAACAGTTTGTCTAAAGCAGTACAGAACTCGCCTGGAGTCCAGCCTACAAAAACTACAGAAAGCCACGAAGCTTTTCAAAAGTTACGCAAACATGTTAACCAATCCCTTAATTAAGAAGAAAACAGGTGGACTGTACATTGGCAACCAGCGGTGACTGGAATTAATTTCGAAAAATGGATAACATTTTCTCAGGAGAGTATATGTGTACAAACGCTCTACGCACTGCGTGATTGAACTGTCATGAAAGATCTCTACTAACCTATAATTTTTGGCAGCCCATTTCTTCTCAGAGGGGATGGAATTGTCTTGCCATTTAAAGGTACATTCATGGGGCTGCTAACGTTGATTTTGAAGCCATTCGGAGGTCTTTCATTGACTAAGTTTTGTCCATACAGGTACTGAAACAGCCACCTCTGCAAGTGCAGTGAGGATAGTGCAGAACAAAGTTAGTACAGCTGTTCTCAGTGGATGACATTTAAACAAAAACAGAAAACAAGAACAAACAATAACAAAAAAAAAACTTTTGGTCTGCCTAAATGCATTTCAACTCTTTCAACTTGGCATAAATTCAATGTAATGGCCCCTTCTTCTGGGCAAGTGTCTCAATTGGTTTTGGAGCCGCACACCTAGAAAAATGTTGAACCCCTGAACCCCTAAAATGTTTTTAAAATGTTTAAAGGAGATATAAAAATTTCCAGAGACAGCATACTTCTCATATTTAAAATGGCAAGATAGTGGACAATTCTGCATAGCTAAGTTGATTTCCCAACGGTGGGTGGTCACGATTTCTAAAACTTAACCATGATCAGCAACAGTTTTCACAAGAGAAAAACTTTTAAGCAAGTGTGATCTAAATACCTTCTTCAAAGATCCATACAATGGATTTGTTCTTGTTGACCTGTGACCAAATCTGACAGAGGCAACAGGGCTCCCAGGAGCAGGTCCTGGACTTACTCTCTCTGCAGCAGAACCACTGTAACTGCTTGTTACACTCTCTGCGCTGGTTGGGGAGCCTGTCAATATAAAAAGAAACAATACATACAATTAGAAAGAGCAGGTGTGTTATCATATCATGCTTTGCTTGCTTGTACTCCATGAGTACAAAACACTAAACACTACAGAAGTACCTCCCCCTACTACAAATGCGCCATGGGATTTGTTCTGATTGAAACAACAAAAGCCTTTTTCTTCAGACTACACGATTTCCTTGTCAACCAAGTTACTTTCTACTATCTTAGCCACCAAGGAAAGCCACACTTCATTCCAATTACAAAGAGGAAGTTCGATTTCATTTCAGATTTTTTAAAAGCTCTGAATAGTATACGTAGCCACTCGAATAACTGTGAGGAGTAAATAAAAATGTAAACATTATGAAAATTATAGCTGCTATCTTTGATTTTTATAGCTGGGGAGAGAAAGAAACTTATATCATGGGGGTGAGTGACAGTCAAATAGAAGGAGAATGAGGGGGTGGGGTCTCACTTTCCTGCTCCCTCCCCCACCGTCCACACTAATTTTGAATCAAACATGGCTGGTTCGAAAAACGATCACGACCTTGTAACTTTAACTCTCCCTATTACGGCTCATGCTATGCAAGCTAACCATCCGCACAGCCAATTTCCTTTTTCTTCCCGTCTGTTAGGCAAGATAATGTGATGATAATGTCAGAGGAAGTTACTTGTTAATCATCGTTGACTACCTGTGGTTGATGGACATGGACTTGGAGTATTCCTTCCACTGTCCTCAGCCACGTTGACCTCAACCTCACATTCTGTGAGTGAATTACTTAGTTCTTTTGCGGGCTGAGTACTGTCCGCTGTGTTTGATGTACACAATGGTATATCAGCAGCCAAAGGCACAACTTGTTCAGACACTACACTGACATTGTCAGGCATTGCAGTTGCATTTTGATCAGTAGTACTACTGGCAGTACTGATAACAACAGGTTTTGCCTCTTTTTCTTCTCTTGGCGTAATGGGAGAGTTAGGTGTGGAGGCCTCACTGATATCTGCTGGTTCAGTCTTTACAGAGACAGATGTATCTTTGGTAAGAGTCTCTCTCTTCTCTTCATCCAAATACTGGAGAAGAAGGTGTTGCATTAGTACTAAAACAACTGCCATGGATTAAATTTTATTTTCACAAGAAACTGTTGTGCCATGTAGATGCACTTGAGAAAAAATAAGTTGGTTTCCAACCATATAAGGATATAAGTGGATAAAAGAACATGAAGAATATTCAAAAGCAGGATCCAGTTGTGCAGCAGGCGGATAAGGGGTTATAATCAACTCTTACCTGTTTACTGTCCTTTAGAAATTTAAAGCTTCTGTTAGGTGATGTAGATGGTGTCACAGAACTCAGTTCTTGTGCATTAGGAGTAGAAGCAGTGCTACTGTGATCATCAGGGGACAAAGGTTCGGACGAACAACTTGACAGCCTCGCTCTCTTTCTTCCTGTTCGTTTCCTGTTCAGGGTCCGCCTCATCACTTTCATATTTTTGCTGCTGAGCTTGTTTAACGGCACTTCTTGACTCACTGGGCTGATCAACTCCTGCTTTGGTTCTTTCTGAGTTTGTTGTTTGCGTTTTTCTTTCTTCTCCATTTT